AAGAATATTTAGTCAGGCAAAAATAAGACAGACATGTGACAAGCGAAATAGGCATGCACACATGAATAAAAGCGACGAATGATTGACAACGTCAAAAGCAAGCGAGACTAGTCATGTGAGCTTATGCAAAGCAGACAATAGTAAGAGCGAAAGGTACGTATAATTTGCTACGCAAATGGCCTGGTTAAATAAATTAATCAAGAGGGCTTGACCAAATTAAATGTAAGCGAACTGGAATATATTTGGAGGCACTACAGGACAACCAACTTGATATGGACGCTCAATGTTATCTTTTATCAAACAGAATATTACGCACAACCAACCAGCCTAGCCTACAAACAGCCCTCATAATTAACATACAGCCCACAATCATAAGTAATCTCGTTCTTTCAAGATTAAAGATTATAAGGTTACATTGAGATTAATATAAGCAGACAAGTGACGACAATCAACATTAAAAGTACAAAGGCGCTAGGAGAAAACAAAATTCAATACGAAATCAAGCTAACAAAGAAATCTGTAAATAATCTGTAGAGCTTATTCCATTAAACAGCCTTTCTCCTACAAACCGAAGTCGACGTTTACCGGTTGTTAGGTCCTTATGGTCAGACCAACGAAGAAAGTGATGCCGCACAGCTCCTGGCAAAACAGTATCTTGATAAAATTTAACCGTCACTCACGACTCTTAATAACGAATGTTTCAAATGTATTCTAATATGAGTCTCAGAGGTAAACCTAAGTGTTGGTCTATTTCGTCAAAAAGTGAATCGTCTAAACATGAAATCTTCTAACTCGGGCATCATTCACTCTGCTAAACTGATGGGAGCCGCTCCATTTAATGTGACTCTCTCACACGTGACAGGTGGAGGAATAGTTCCAAATAATTTCTAGCTTGCACACATTGCACCAATTTTCAAAGGAGGTCAACTTAATGAACCTTCAAGCTACCGGCCAGCAGGACGCGTCTCAATATTTTTAAAAGTTATGTATTTCTTGGCGTGGTGATTGTCTGTTATAAGCAAACTTCTTTACCCCCCAGCAATATGGTTTCAAGAAGAGGCAAGCGGAAGGAAATTTACTGGCCTAAATCGAATGGCATGAATAAGCACAGATTTATATGTAACCACACATTTATCGAATAAGAATATTTCTTTTCAAGTCACGTGCACATTTTTTCGGATGTATTCAATTTAGAAATCGTGGTCTTCTAGCCTGTCGACTTTGAGTTGGTTTGATTATTCATGAGGCAACCCAAAGGTATTTCTTTGCCAGATATCTGCTGGTAAGTATATTTTGAGATGCGTCACCAGCTCATGGTTCGTGCCTACACTGTTCGATTATTATATTAGGCGAATATTCCACACTCCTCTCATGTAAACATGAGAGAAGGAAATGCTTACTGACTAGTGGAGGATGACCTTAATTACATCTGATTACAAATTCATAAAAGACTAAAAATACTTGATCACCACAGATTACTGTATCACACCAAACTTCTAAGCTTTCTTGAATTGTTGTATTTGAATGGACTGATTCATCCAAAAAAATGAACAAACGGAAACTAAATCAACTACCTTCTAGGACGTTAAACATCAACACTGACTGAAAGATATTCCAAAGCAGAATGCTGAAAGTTATTGAGTTGAACATCATTCCTAAAAATGCTTATTATTCCTCGATTCTACTATACACTTTGGCTCTGGAATAAACTTTTATAAGATATTTAGGATGACTGAGTATGACATTAATAATTCTTGAAAATATTTGCAAGGAGAGGTGCTCTGGTAAGTTTCGGTAATAAACTCTGTAGTGTCACGGGATGACCTAAATAGGTCCGTCTTCAAGCCTCAGTAAGATTTCAGGGCCTTAAACGTTATCGGTATATATACCGAATCCAGAGATGTGACTGCAATAGATAATTACCCAAGTTGTGTTCAGAAGCACAGTGGAGGGAGAGGTTATGTTTAAAACAAACAAGTCTTTACCAATGCGCTAAAATATAAATATAACACCAATATAAAGTAAGGGAGTCAATGGCTACGTTAGATTTAATTTTTTCATTCTAACATGAAATACTCGACTAACTCGTGCTTACTTAACGGACGCTACTACTAGATCACCCACTATTTTCAACACTAGCCCTTCATCGCATTGGACATCTGAGGGGAACGATCAAAACCAGAAGTACGGATAGCTTTTACAGTTTAACAAGTAGCTTATTAAGCTGGCGAATTTATACATTCCCAACTAGATTGATTTTAAATACTTTTGATAGCAGTTTTCGTGTTCTTCTCTCCTTTAAGGCTGCCGTAGTTAGAGTATTGACGTCTAGCTTGACAGTGGAAAGATCCACAGTGAGAAGATGCAGGAGCTGGAAAACGGAACTTTAACACGATTGAACGACAACATTAAAGTCATTGCCTCAGCTCCCTTTGTAGGGGCCATCTTCGGCACTATTTAATACTGAAGCCAGTAAAATATATATAGGAGTGAAGAGGATCATAAGCGATACAGCGCAGTACAAGTTAAACATTCTGTGATTCAAGGTTGTGTGATTATGGTTTATCCCTTATTTAAGATGCCTGTCTGGAATGCAGTTCCCTGAACTGACTAAGTAAAAATGACATAAAGGACAACAACTTATAAACGTAAATTAGTGAAGAATAGACATCAGCTTTTATACAGGATTTGGTTAATATAAATAACTGAGTAGCAACTGTAAAAGAAGTTTTATTCGATATGCGATTACATTCATTCCAAATAGCTTCGTTATGAATAAATTCAATACTAACGTTTCCAAACAACGAGTGGGATGGATGCCAGAAAATTCTGTAAGAAGCAGTTTCTCTAAACGACAGACGTGACAAATTGAACAAAGAAACATATCAAACAGCAGCAGTCTAGTTTCGTGAGGGGAAAGACAATAATCAAAGCATTGTTATTATACGACATTGTGGAAAAAGATTTAGGACAAGTTATCCACTTTTTTATATTAAGGGTACCGAAATTTTCAATATAATCTACTCACCATATTTCTGTATAGTTGGAAGCTGCAAAGAATTTAATCCGGTTCACATAAACTAACAGATGTAGCGGTTTGTACCTATATAATAGGTACCTTGTTCAATAAAGGATCGGAGTATTTCAAAGCAAAACTTAGAGCTGATGGAGTAAAGATTTTAAACGATCGCAGACAAACCGGACAAATTAAGTGAACGCAGAAACTTTAGGTCATATTCAGTAGCAACAACTCCATTGTTACTGAAAAAACGAACGAAGAGACTAGCAAAAAGAAACAATGTATCCATCAATGTTTGAGGTGCTGCCAGATGAGACGCATATGCTGCCATAAGCGCACTAATCTGATTATTTAAAAGATGATTAGCGAGGATGTATGACTTACCATCACCCGACCACATCATATAAAACCGAACTACTTCGAACAATTTCAGTCTAATAGCTAGACTACCGCCCACTAGAAATTACCAAAAGCTCTAGAGCAATAGCGGAAAATAGCGCAAAGCTTTTCACAAGGTACTGAACGTTGAATATCGGGACATAGAAACTCGTAAAGCAGAAACTTCCTTTATTCCGTCCACAACTACTTGAGCCATTATAACCTAGATCACCAATAATGTTGTATAGTAATCTCTTACAAAAACAATTCGATATATAAACTAAATTCCCTTTTACGTGTTTTATCCTATTGGCAGTGTTTTCAGATGATTACCTATTTGTATGCTCATTTACTGGATGCAACTCAGTTCCTTCTTCTTTGCTTACACTTTTGCCCTATCTCAGGATCTTTACTGCCAGTTAATTAAGTGTTTTAATTAATTCCATAGTTCTGATATTTTCCTCTCCTAATTGACGTATTTTCTTATTATTTTTCCAGTATATCGCAACCAACTGATCGCCTGCTGAGCAATGTGATAGCTGCTGGTATCTAAAAACTACGGCCCTGAGACATTGCACTCACTCAAATCAACGGACATCCCAGTTCATAAATGCCAAATGACTGGGATTAGTGCATTCAAGTTTCTTGACTAGCGTTCATTGGACATTACCAAACACCTGGAAATGTAACGAAATGATAAGAATCGAGCGCAAGGAAATCTTTTGTTTTATTAAACATTTGTTGAATATTGGAGATGGATTTCCTGCCTCATATGACGCAAACGACCTACATTCTCAATGAATGTCCGATCCCTAATGTCTCCTCAGAGCGCGATCTTGGTTTAATAACCACAGAAAGCCATCACACCAGTCCGAACTATGTAGGGGATGCAGCCAAGGCAAATGCGACTCTTAACTTTATGCGAAGACAGCTTGATGCTATCACCCCGAAATTATTTTTAACCCTGTTTAAGACGTACGCGCGCCCATACTTGGAGGTTCACAACGTCATCGCACCCCCTCTGCTTAAAAGAGACATTAATCTCTTGGATCGAGTGCAGAGACGAGCAACCAAATGGGTGATAGGGTTGAAAAATAAACCCTACGACGATAGACTCCAGCTCTTGGGATTATTCCCACTGAGCTACAGGAGAATCAGAGGTGACCTGATTATGGCGTACACCATATTAAACACGCCAAACCATCTCAATGTGAGCATCTTACCGATGCATCTTACTGATGCATATCTTCAGACCTGCTAGTTGTTACCATTGCCATCTCCTCAGATCACTCAATTAATATATCTTGCCTATTATCTCTGTTTCCTCTCCCTTGCTTACACTTCGGTCCTCTCTAACAATCTTCACTACCAATTAATAAACTAAATTCATCTATATATTACTCAGTTCTGAAATTTTATTCATATTATCATTAGAATTTTATCCTTATTACCCTTATTACTCTCCACATTGCAACTAACTGATCTCCGGTTTGGTAATGTGACGGCTGCTAGTATCCAGAAACCCTACTGCCCTGAAACAAACGTTTCATTCGAATCCCGAGACATACAAACTCACAACCAACTGCCAACTGACTAGAATTAGACAGTCGAGTGGCTAGACCTCCATCTATTGGACATTACCGAACACCTGGAGCCGTACCGAAAGAACGAGAATCGAGCGCGAAGAAATCAAATTGGTTTACACTAGCTCGTGAAAAAGATATTGGAGATTGCTCACCCAATTGGCAGCGGGTAAATTGCTTCAGCTGACTGTTACAAGGTCGACGCCCCGTTTTCGGGAATATCATTTTATGTGTAGGTAATAGTAAATTATGGGTTCTTTAAGATTCTAAAGCAGCTTTTCAAGTGATCTGAAGTAATGGCCTCGAGAAAAGGTTTGGGATTTAAACAGTTGTAGTCTAAGTATCATAGGGTCACAAATATATGAAAAACTTTTATCTACTACTTCTAAAGCAGTTAGCATACAGTAGCTGCACCTATCAAACCAAATTTTTTTCCTAGGAGGTAGGACAAAAAATAGGGCATATGTATGTGTGTGTCTAATTTTTTTGTAACCCGACAATATTGTTCAGAACCCTTAGTCAGTAGTAAATTAAGGAAACACTTATTTGTTTCACCTTTCGATAAGATTGATTGACTATTCATAATAATTTAGAAAAAGATTTTGTCTTCCTTACCATTTCTATTCGTCTTTATGTCAAGAATAAAAACTTATAAAAACAACAATGTAGTATTCTGAAGAATGAATATATCTTTAGCCCCAAGAGATAAAATTTTATTAGACGTCACACATCTTTAGAGTTTTAATTCTGTGGTTTTATCCTTATAGATTTGACCAGATGAATGATAAGGCACTTAGGATCTCTGTCTAATATATAGAAGTGCAACCAAGTCATGGTAACTACCCTTTGTGTAATTGTATTTTAAAGAGCTCGGAAGAAAAACTCGACAATTTTCGAACTGCGATCTCTACGTGTAAGTTGTGTTGTTTTCATTTGCGGCAGCGGATATAGAAAAGGTTAAATCTTTCCTTTCAGAAGATAAGCTGCTGATCAACTCTCATGATAAAGTGAATAACTGAATTCTCAGACTAATCATTTTTTAGGAAGGCTTGTCTCCACTCCAGTTGGCTTGTTTCCGCGGTAACCTTCCGATTGTTGAGCTTCTTCTAAAATGTGGCGCAAACGTAAACTCCACCTCACATAAACAGGGTTATACTGCCCTAATGTTTGCTGGTCTTTCAGGTTTGCCACTTTACTTTCATAATTTTCTAGGAAACACTGAGGTTGTTGAGCTACTCCTTCATTATGGTGCTCGAATAAATGATGTAAACAGTATTGGAAGGACCGCTTCTCAAATGGCAGCATTTGTGGGTGGGTATTTGAAATTAATTGCAATAATAAATAAGGGAATCATAACGTTGTTACTCTTATTAATAACTACCTGGAAAGAGAAGAACTAGATATTTATGTGTCAAAGTCCCAGTTAATACCTGAACATTCATCTACACTTCACCGACTAGTATTGGAGCTTAATATTTCACCTGTTAAAGTATGTTATCAAATAACTGTATTTGAATAATCGTTTTATTGGTAACTGTAATATTTCCATAACATATTTATACGTCACAGGCAATGTCAGTCTTTAGAAAACTCAATTCCTTGGGCTTATTAAGTACAACTGGAGCTTTTTATGTTGCAACATATTTGCTCTATTCTCATGTGTTTAAATTCCAGATATCTCTTAACACTTTACAGTTGATGTTTTCCAATGTCATGTGCCCTCAATCCTTCAGTAAGTCAGTCAGCTAAAACGTAGAACATTTGAATTACGTACATCAGTTCAAGTTTTCATGCCATATTAGCATACAGGGATGGAATTTTTACTTCAAAATAGTACAGGTTGTAGTAGTGTTAGCGGAAATGGGAAAGTTTAGGGAACGAAGATGTGATTCCAGAAGTATAATCCAGTGAGGCAAATTTAAAGAGAGAAAAAATGTTGGATTAGAATTTGAGACAAGGCAAGGATTGGATACATCTGCGTCATTACAAACGATTTTCAGTCTCAAACTACCGGTTACGACCGTCTCGCAGACTCCAACCAAGTAGTCTACATCTACTGACACGACTCATTCCAGTTGTCAGTGGCTTCATGGATTTGTACCAGGTTTTGGTTTGACCGCTCCCAGATTCCTTCAAACCTACTCTTACATCAGACAACACTGCTTGTTGAGGCAGTTTGTGGTTAGATATATGTAGCACATGTCCCAACCACCTCAACTGATAAGGATTCACTACTTCATCGATTGATTTGTCATCGTTACCTAGTACCCTCTTCCTAACATCACCATTGCTTACTCGGTGGTCTCAGGGTATTAGAGCAATTCTGCGACAACACCTACAACCGAGTACTAGTAATCTACAATTGGAGCAATCTGATGCGCAGTAAACCCATACTTTGGGCACTAGACGAATAAATCGCCCACGCTACGAGTGAACTTGGTAAAACTCAATCAAGATTTCTGTATCCGTGCTGAGATTTGGTTAGACTCCCAAGGTAATTAAAGTGGTCAACACGCTGAACTGCACTCCGTGTCACTAGTTCAGACTGTGACGCAAGCCAATCCTGAAGCAACATTTTTCATTTCAAGGGGGAGAATCGAGTCCCGGACATGCTTACATTGTTGCTTAAGGTGATCAGAAGACTGTAGTTTGTCAGGGTCTTCACCAAACAGAACTATATCAACTGTATATTCTAAGTCAACAAGTGAGTTACCTGGTAGATGTCCAACACCTAAAAAGCCAAATAGCAAAATTGTCGTCACTAAAACCTTGACAATGAAACAGTTGAATGAGAATGGAGAAGGTTGATCACTCTGACGAACACCACTTGAAGTAACTAATTCCAGTGACAGTTCGCCATAAGTTCTAACTCGACCACAAGGGAGCGATTAGAGAGCTTGTATAAGGTTATTGTACTTCTTTACTACACCTTTCAATGACAGACACTGCAACAGAACCTCACGATAAGCAGATTCAAACGCCGCCCTAGGGTCAAGGAATACAACTATTGTCGGATGCCTAAATGTATGTCTGTGTTCCAGGACCTGACGTAGTGTGGATATCTGTTCTATTTGGCACAAGGTTCGAACACTGTAAGCTCCCACATGTAGTTTAAAGCGTGGTCTCAGGAGACCAGGACTAACGGCTCGTGTACTCAAGTCGTTCGCATCAGCGGTGCAAGTCGATGACGGAATGAGAGAAGCGCTAGTCGTAAAGGTAAGAGAGTTATTAAGAGGTATTGGAAGGATTTTATCATGACCAATTTGGTTTCGTGTGTTGTTACGGGTATGAGGGCGGGTGTCATTTCCTGGTCGCCCACACCGTCGAAGCGTATTTCTTGAGGAATTTATAAAAAGTTGAGTTAGTATTGGTCTTAGCGACTTGAGAGCGTAACGACAGGGACTGTGGAACAACTGCTTCAAGCCGGTCGCTCGCGGCCCCTTATGGAAGCTTTTAGTACCTGTCCGGCATGCTAGGACATGAAAGAACACGTGCCCCCGCCAATATAGCTCGGTCGGGTGATCATAACAGGCAAGCCTGACTACCACATCAAGGAAGCAGCTACGGCCGAGTGATCCTTGTGTAGGTTAATGAGATTTTTGGTGTTTCTGTTTCATTTATTTTGATTTACAGTGATTCATTACCTATATTTACAAAAGTAAGTAAATATTCGAAGTCCCCCTGACTCATTTAACACACTTGTGAATGTAGAGTTCAAATCCGTACAAGTGAACTTGTTTTCATTGTCTCAAGTTGAACATAGTGTCATTTCAAACAGGTTTCGATAAACACTAAAAATCTTAAAGATCTGAGTGCTTCAGACGTACTCGTACTTAGTTTATTCAGAAAATCATGCTAATATACTTGTAGCTAATCTCTTCACACTTCGGAATATTTAACTTTTACATAAAATTTAGAGTTAGTGATAAGAGTTTTTACCGGAGAAGACGAATGTGTATCGATGTTAAGTGTGGCCTAGTGAGGCTCGGTGACAACACAGCTAGTCGAACTACTCAAATATTTTCACTAAATTTAAAGCAAACTATGTTAGGTTTGGTTATTTTTTTCAAGCTTTAGTATGCCTTTCACCCGATAACCGAATACATAACTTGTACTCAAATTCCAGTCAAATAACTTTTTTACTAAGCTATGTAATCATATATTTATCCCGTAATCGTTTGTATATTTTAGATCTTCCTGTTGCTGAACAATGAGATTGAAACTCAAAGCTGCATAGGAGGAAATTACGAGAAATGTATGTTGACTCATTGGCGTAGTATCCATACTGTTCTTGAAGATTTATGCAACAAATATTTTACACCTCACTTAACGCATGAACCATTATCTCTAAAACTGCATTTGTTGGCTTGTTGTATACGCCAGGCTGGAGAATATTATGATAAAGAGTCGAAAAGTACAGACGGTCAAATTAATGCTTCCTCACCATTAAAGCAACTAATAAAAAAATTCTTGGTCGGTATAGAGCCATACGGTTTGCCGTTAGGTAAGTGGTGTGAAATAATGCATTTCATAACACATTATATAGGTCAAGAGCAATTTTTACGACAATCCTTGACTTCCTTTCCCCATCATCAGTCGACTTTATGGAGGCATGTTGTCCAACAAATATCCCCGCTAGATTTAGGCCGTATGCCAACAGCGTTCTCCATCCTTACTAAAACAATCAATGGCACTATTATGTACAATGCTCGACCTTTTGAACTGTGTGCAACATGTGGAGATGGTCCTGAACTAGGAAAACCAGAGAAGCTAAAAGCATGTCAGCAATGCAAGGTTACTTCATACTGTTCAGTCTCTTGTCAACGTCTACACTGGTTTAGTCATAAAAAGTTTTGTCCAGTCATCAGAAGTAAGTACTTGTTATACAACCGATATTTATTCACTCTTCAGCTAAATAAACTTTGATGTCCTCATACGAATACATGCTTTTACTTAAAAAATTTCTTATTTGGAGATATGGTAGTTTACAGCATTTATTATGCATATAGTTAAGTTTTGGCAGAAGCTAAAAGTACAAGTTATTGTACACGATCCATGAGAGGGATTAATCTATTATCGACAAATACTTATGAGTACTCTTCACAGTTTACTACACATGCCAAGTAGTAAGTGACAGAAAGTTTCTCATTTTTCTATGGTTGATAGACGTTTCTCTTAACACCTCCGAGTTTTCATAAGTAAGGCCCATCATACCAGGTACTAAGAAGCTTCTTCCATCGACGAAAATGTTCCCACATTTCGTGATGAGACATAACTCGCACTAACAGTTCAATGGCATAAATTTGGTCGGAGTAGGTTTATCATATTAATATTTATATTTAACAATATTCTTGTTCATACCTGCTCTCAATTTGTATACCGTTCAGATACTGCACTAACACGCCAGCATAAATAATTGCTTACTTTTATAGAACATAAAGAAGAATTCGGATTATCTAAATGAGTGGAGCCAAATAAAATATAAATGTTGTCAACTGTGATACGTAAACTAGCTAAATGTTTAACTCTTATTTGACTTTACTACACATTTGTTGTTCATATGTAACTTAGAATAATTTACTGTCAATAAAGTTTTTATTCAAATAAATAATTTCATATTCTGTACATGAAACCGATGTTCTGTCAGCGATCATAAAATTATATGCAAAAATAACGTATGTATTTTTAAAATAGATAATTTAAAAATAATGCATACTGACTTCGTTATGATCACAGTTTGTGGGACTGATTTCAAAATAGAAGGTTGAGATCAAAAATCATGTAAAAATATTTGCCAACCCATCAGTTAGTGAGTTCTTTGAGTTAACATTACTTCATATACTTCTTTGGGAGTCTAAAAAAATAATTAAAAGTTACAAATAGAAGTGTTTCTTGAATTTTATGTAAAAAAGCAATTACAGTCGCTATCAGGAAATATAGCATACACATTTAAGAAACTTCGAATGACAAATTTTCCCTCCGGTACTTCATCAAACTGTATTGACAGGCGTATCGCAAAAGAGTAAGTTAAAATCTACAATCATAGTATAACATTCTTATAGCTTGAATCTTCAGGTTTGAGATCCTATTATTCACCTGCTTTACATACTTGTGTCCAGTGAGCGACATTTAAGTTAAGTTCGACACTATTTACCTACAAACTGATGTGTGATAGTGAAAGGAAAACGCGATTGGTCATCGAGTGTGGACAAACAGGCCTATTGGTTATTAAATATGCAGTTTCCTTTCCGCTCCGGACTCATTGAGAGTAAGTGTTTGTAATTGTGCGGGATAAAATATTATCTATCGTCCACTCGCGTTCTCTATTTGATCGTGAGTCGGGTATCTGATATAACGTGACGTGTAGCATGAACTCGGTCACCCAGACCAATTTTATTTTATCTCAGTATCGCATCATTGTAGTAATACCGTGGATAAAAAAATATTTCCAAGACCACCGTTATAACATAAACCTGCCATGGAAGTGTACCGTTGTTCTCATTAACAATTAGACATATCCTAAAACAGGATTATTATGTGAACATTCGACTTGGATAACGACAGTACAAACGATTAGCTGCTTAGTACTGGAAATGAACTACAGACCACTAATCTCAAAATTTCTATCGAATTTCCTAGATGAACTAAATTTACGTGATGGCGTACTTTGTATATGACTATACATTAAAATGAGAGTGGATTTTACTAACATTAGCTTTTAATAAACTGAACTTCATGCAGCAACTTATTATTGTTCAAATATTGCTGCATCTTGTAATACTTTGAATTGTTTGTCTTGAAAGTAATGCCTACCATTAAAAATATAGAAAATTCAACGCCTAAAATCAAGCTCTTACTTTCTATAGTCTGATCCATATTCTACATCATCACGGCCTATAGACGGTCGTACTTCTTTTCCATGGTTCTCCACTTTTTTTCGGTTCAGTAGCTTCCGCTCAGTTGACTCAATTTCTTTCAATCTGGCTTCAATTTCACGTTTTCGAGTTAACCGGTCAAAAGCGAAGTCAGGAGAATATGCATTTACTGTCTCTAAGATACCGATATAAAAAGAGTATGTTAATTAGTTGAAAAAGGGAAAATAATGGTTCATCTGTGAAACTTAATATCCTACCTCTTTCGAATGTCTTATAGGCGGATGAATGGGGGTATTGAGATGTCGCTGTTGTATCTGGTGTCACACGTTCTGAGGCTGATGACAATGAATAGTTACCCTGTGAGAACATTGAGGATGATCTACTAGAATGCTCTTCAGGAGAACGTGATTCATTTCTTGCCCATTCACAGGATGGTGTAATGATGGGATAACTTTTGTTACTGCGCATTTTCGTCCGAACCTAAGAAACAAATAAATAAGAATAAATTGAAATTACAGAGTATTTTAGGCAATAATATACAAGGTTGTTTTCCTGGTTTTACGTATTTTAGAAAACTGATTGTCGTGAGATCTAGAATAAAACAATAAAACTTTCGACGCAAAATTCCTGTTTCTTATCTTATTTCGATGATCTACGTTTGTCTGATGGAAAGTTAGATCAACTCAATGATAGTATATCGGATTTATGGAAATTGTTCAGATTTGGGCTTTAAATTAGATTTCATTACAAATTATTTCAAAATGAAAACTACTGTTGATATTTCGAATACCAAATGAATCCGCATATACGTCATTCAACTGCACTGCAGAAACTAGTTATCATTATCTCCCAAGGAAGTCGTCATACTAGTTGGCCGAAGTCAAAATTGATTATCTTACAGGTGACATCAATAAAAAGTTAGTTCGGGAAAGATGGTCGAAATTACAAAATACGAACTAGAAAACATCATATATTTTGAAAATATAGGCAGTTTGATAATCAGTAAACACAATTTATTATATAACTGAAGGGTGTAAAGATAAGTTGATTGATAAAGCTTATTTAAAATCAACTAATAAATAGTTTAGGGATTGATAAGTTCAGTATAATTAACAGTTAAATAATGGAGAGCCAAAGTAAAGAGAGCTATTGTATAAATTCCATATGGATACAAAGGCTAAGTTGACTGAGATGAATACCGATTGTTTCTCCTATATGTAAAAAAAAATACGTAAGCTAAGTAGTATATTTAGTGGGACCCGGTGGATAAACTGAAATCCATCGTTTGTGTTCACTTGATCTCCTGTATCCATTAAAAGTTACGACAGAGGTATCCATTGATCAATACTTGCCCTTTAATTAGCCAGGCAAGATGATATTAAGAGATAGGGTGACAGACATGCTTAAATGTGCACCCGATGTCTCTAGACCCACATGAGCAGTTGAAATAGTAATGCATATATATGAAGCGAATCGGGGAAGTCTATCCTTATTTTCAGTTCTAATAATCGGTTGGCTGTAACATAAGGCAAACAGTTTTACAGCATTGAATATTCTCTGCAAAGCTTTTCTAACTAGTGTTACTAATTCATCTACAATGTCGCCTAAAAATGTAACTTCAGGAGTACCGGTGTAATGAATGAAGATGATAAGATTGGATCGGATACACAATTTATTTGAAGACAGTTTAATAACCAAAATGTGTACACCTTATCTTCAAACATCCATCTGTAAAAAAAAACAGTTATCGGTTGTTGTGGTCTTCAAAACATTCAGATTACACCATAAATCCGGATCCAACACTCTTCACTTTAGCAGTAACTTCAGAGAGACACCCTGCTGCATATTACTCAATCCACGTTGTGAATGATATTCACCACAACTGTATTTCAGAAACTGCAGTTTTATCTGATTGTTCTAGCATGAGTCACGTGTTTGTTGATAAATATTAGTGGATAAGCGTTCACGCCAAGTTACTGATACTACTTACATCTTCTCTAAAAGTATAATCGGAACAATGAAGTTTAACACATTGTGTTAAACTTCACTGTGTTTCATTTACAAGAAGTATGAGACTGTAAAAATGAGTATATTGACCAAATGATGTTGATTTTAAATTTGTACTTGTTTTTAATGTTCTTTTATTGTGAAAGTAATAGATGGATGGATGGAGTCATAAATAGACAAACCTTGTCCATTGCATTAATAAGTTCTATAAAGACATTGTCTATGTAGTGAGGATAACAAAGTAGCTGGGAAGTTTCATCTAAATAGGAATTTTCACGTTACTGAAATCCATTGGGAAAGAATTTGCGTTAAAGATTTCTAACGGGTATTTGAAGTACAGTGCAAGGCTCAACGAAGCAAAGATGGATGTCGAATTCGTTAATCAATGCATTTAAACTAACCTCATAGTGTATTACAAATTCTTACGCCGTTCAAGAGTTCGGCTTGGTGGGTGAACAAGGAAATAGTATATACTAAACGAAAATTTTATAACGCTAGCATTCTCATCCTGGGCTATAAATATTCTAAATCATCACAAAATGTGACATGTAATCTCTGGAAACTTTCAAAAGTGTTTGAAATCAATGAAACGCAAATTGAACAATGTTCATTATCTCTAAATACATTAACACATACCATCGGATCTGGTGACGAACGAAAGTGATTGGACAATGAACTGCTTGATGGATAATCTGATTTTAGACGGCGATCTGTAAAAGGATCAGGACTTTTTGCGTAATGCGACTGCTTGAGAGTGTCGGAAATATGACGTTCATGCTGGTTTACTGGGCTATGCACTGAGTGATCTATTTCAAAAGCAATGTATAAAAAGAATCGTTTTATAGTAACAGCAGTTTTGAATGCACCAATACGTTTCACTAGATCAGTTAATGACCTAACATACACTCCGAATAAATTCATTTCCGTTACAAATACTCAATAGTCGGACATTTAGTTCCTATAAAATCTTACTAAGTCATACAGGTATATATCGATTATCGCTATATATGTGGCCAAACGATAATTAGTCCCAAAAGTGTAAGCTTGTAGCATTGCTATCCTTACCAGAATATACAACGCAGCCGTTTGTGAATAATTTTCTAATAGATAGAACACTGAGGAACACAAGCAAATAGATTACAATGTATTTCAGGAATTCGAAGCAATCATTTATTGAAATACATATGCTCATAAGGTCACCAACTGGAATAACAGCTGCAGGTAACTACGATTTCAGACTAAAAACTAAATAGTCAGTCAGTCAGATGCAACGTAGAACTTTGTACGTAAGTACATCAGTTCATGTTGCCATACCACATCAGCACAGAGATGTAAATGTCAATTGAAATCCAATAGTAGAAGAGGTAGTAAAGGTATTAGAAGTAATCGGAAAGGTTAGGATTAGATGATATTCAAGAAATATGATTGAGTGAGTAAAGTTTAGAAAGTCAAAACTAGAGGGGTTGAAGAATCCAGAAGATTAGGATTTGAGAGAACATGAAGAATAAATGCACCGGCGCCACTGCAAACGGTTTCGAGCCATGTCATTCAGGGTATCTAACCATCGATTATTATCATCTCGCGGACCCCAACCAGGTAGCCTACATCTACCAACATGACTCAGTCCACTTGTCAATGACTTCATGGATTTGTGCCATGTTTTGGTTTGGCCGCCCCTAGCTTTCTTCCAACCTACTCTTACACTACGAAACAAAGCTCGTCGAGGCAGTCAGTGGTTAGGCATACGCAGCACATGTCCCAACCACCTCAACTGATGAAGTTTCACCACTTCATCTATTGATCTACCATTCTTACCTAGCACCCGTTTCCTAATAATAGCGTTGCTCACTCGGGTGTCCCAGGATATACGAGCAATGCTTCGTAGATACCTACGATCGAAAACCAATAATCAACGAATATCTTCTACTCTCACTGGCCATGTTTCACAGCCATATAGTAGGACGGAGCGAACCACTGCGCAGAGCACCCGTCCTTTAGTCAGCAAACGGATATCTCGCCTACGCCATAAACGGCGTAAATTGGCAAAAGCAAGTCGAGCCTTCTGTATCCGAGCTGAGATTTCGTCAGTCACCAGGCCATCAGCACTGATGAGACTACCCAGATAAGTGAAGCGGTCTACACGTTCGACTACTTCACTCCCTATCACTAGTTCAGGTGCCGATGCAACCCAATCTTGAAGCAACATTTTGCATTTCGAGGGGGAAAACCGCATCCCGAACATGCTTGCATTGTTGCTTAGGGTGGCCAGGAAGACTCTGCATTTTGTCAGCATCTTCAACAAAGTAGTACTATGTCATCGGCATATTCTAAGTCGATAAGCGAGCCACATGGTAGAAGGTCTACTCCTGAAAATTCAGACGAGTATAAGGTTATTTCTAGGAGCATGTCTATGATAAAATTAAACAAGAATGGAGAAAGTGGACAGCGCTGATGGACACCATTTGAAGTAAAGAATTCCAGTGACAGTTCGCCATAAGCTCTCACTCGACCAGTGGTGTTCGAGTAGAGTGCTTGTATAAGGTTAATGTACTTCTTTGGTACACATTTCAATGACAGACACTGCCACAGAACCTCACGATCCACTGAGTCAAATGCCGCTTTTAGGTCCAGGAACACGACTATTGTCGGACGTCGACACTTCCCGGCTGCCCACACAGCGGAAGGTTGTTTCTCGAGGGACCTGAAAAGGAAGATAGATTAGTGTTTGTCTTAGAGACCCGAATGCGTGACCGCAGAGCCCAACGGACAACTGCTATAGGCCGGTCGCGCACAGCCTTTTGATGAGAGGTTTTTTGAGTATTAGCTCCGCTCTTGAAAGCCTCTAGTGGGCACCCTTACCGACAGATACGGAAATCCATGAGGTAGGGTGAGGTGTGACATTTTTAGGGCCGACCTTTTCTAACCCTTCCTTCCTTTTGAGAAGGCAGCATCGCTGCAGATGCTGGTAGTCCGAGGGAAACACCTTACTGCTGTCACACCCCTCTGCAGTCAGCAGTACGACTTCGCCCTCAGACCCTAAGTAGCTGATTTTAGTCTCATCGTTCTCCAATCGACCTGCCTGACATGATAGAACCTTCAGGAACATATGTTCCAGTCATTTTAGCTCGGTTGGGTGATCACGATAGGCAAGCCCGACCACCACGTCAAGGTAGCATGCAGATATTAAAATATGAGCTCCTAGCTTAACCAAAGTCCACTACTAGCGATATTTAGAGTTTCTTGGGATTAAGACTGCAACGAAACCTTGAACTATTGCATTATAACCTGTTTAACCATTTTTCTACTTTTGTCTCGTTAGTTTTCCACGGTATCAACAGTCAATGCCACTAATTATCATTCATATACTACTCATGATCACGTTTTACAAAACAAATCATCTGGTATACAAAGCAGCTTCCTGTACAAAAGAGACTGGTACGTACCCTATTTCTCCATATTATTGGAATGTAGTCAATACGATTTAAATGGTATATATTTCCTTGTTGATAAACTATACAAATTACGTTACCTATGAGAATTACTTGACTGAAATTTCGTACATGCATGATTCTATAAGTGCTTTCTATGAGCTGAACTTGATTGTAAGAAAATACTTGTTTAAAACAATCACTAGTGATTTGTTTGATCTTTACTTACAGGCTTTCCTTGAAGTTCTATAGGGGAACGAATCCTAATTTGACATACGGAACGAAAATTACAGTTGAATTAAATACTGAATTGGCATTATAATGAGGAATTACAATTTATCATTTCTCTTAAGTAGAAAATGTGAAATCTGTAACTAATATACTTTCATGCATAGTTCAAAATATTTCGAAAAGCTAAATACTCTACATTCAAATTATTTTACAATATACGTGTCTTTCTAACAGATACATTTTCCTCAGGAGTTCGCTCTGTTCTCCTTTATGGATGCGAAACATGGCCGGTAAGAGTAGAAGGTATTCGTAGGTTACTAGTATTCGATCTTAGACGTCTCAGAAGCATTGCTCGTATATCCTGGAACAATCGAGTAAGCAATGTTGTCATCGGGAAATGAGTTCTAGGTAAGGATGGCAGATCATTAGATAAAGTAGTGAAACTTCATCAGTTGAGGTGGTTGGGACATGTTTCACGTATGCTCAACCACGGACCCCCTAACCGAGCTATGTTTTGTGGTGTAGGAGTAGGTTGGAAGAAAGTTAGGGCGGCTAGACCAAAACATGTCACAAATCCATGCAGTCACTGACAAGTGGAGTGAGTCATGTTGGTAGATGTAGGCTACCTGGTTGGGGTCCGCGAGACGAAAGTCACCGATGGTTACAGACCTTGAACGACATGGCTCAAAATCGTTTGCAATGGCGCAGGTGCATCCACTCTTTGTGTTCTCTCAAATCCTAATCTTCTGGATTCGTCAGCACCTCTACCTTGGTCTTTCTAAACTTATCTCACTGAATTATACTTCTTGAATCATGTCTTCGAACCCTAATCTTCTCCATTACCAGTAATACTTCTACTATCTCTACCACTATGTGATTTTAATTGATAGTTGCCTCTCTGTGCTAATGTGGTATGGCAACATGACTGATGCACTTACATACGAAGTTCTACGTTGTAACTGACTGACTAACTGACCTCATAAAACATGAGTCATTATTCTTAGTTTAAATTACTAAAGTTTAAAGTAGTACAGATATAATTTTGCACATAATAAACTAAAACAATTAAATGAGACTCTACTGGTCAGGAATTATTTCTAAATAGCGACACAAAAGTCAATAGACTTAACTGATAAAAATTGAAGAATACAGTACAAAAGAATATCGCATAAAAGGTCTCACTTTTAATGAAAGAAGTTTGTGATCTTTTTAGTGACTGACTACTGTGATATATTTCCATTCGCGAACTCATCCCAGTGGATTTTGAACGCCAGTCATCCTGATCATAGAAATTACCAGTAGAGAATGGTGAAGTTGGAGATCTTGAATACTTATTGTGGTGATGATTTGTACGATTTGTAGATGTGGTTGTTGCGTTTGAATCGTTAAAATTAGACTTTTGTTCACGACACGATCTTGAACTTTCGACTTTCAGGCTTGAAACACGATTTCCTGGATTATATTCTGAGGAAGACGTCGAGTACTTATTTCGATATTTGCGTTCATCGTATGTTATCGGTGAGGTAGAGCATATGCGATCATTTGCATTATGAGTATCACGAGAGAAAGTACTCTGAACTGAGAGGTTCCGATTATAGGACTGAGAAGCTGTATACGGTGACTTCGAAATTGAAGAAGGATTTGAGCATGGGATTGGTGACTTGGAATCCATATCTTTATCTTCATCTTCAGAAACATCATCCAACAGTAAATGGACATCATGCCAAGCAATCTGGTTAGGTTGCCCGTATGAGTTTTTTTCACTGACATTAGGTGGATGATGTTCTCCATAAAGTTCAGAGTTTTCATGTGACGATGAAACATTGGATTCATCAACAGGACTATTAGAATTTAAAGATTCTGTAAAAAACCAAGAAATATGAACATAAATTATATGTTGCAGGAAAATGTAATTCGTACAATTATTAAAATGAGGTTTGCATTGATAGAGTGAACTATTAAAAGCAACTTAACGACAATAAAACGTAAACAAACGTAACTAGCTGAAAAAAGAACAAAAATCATAAGAAACTTTTTACACAATAAGATTGGGGATACCATCTGTTTTGTAGAACTCCTACCTATAGTTTGTGCAGATGATGTTCAGAAGAACAAAGAAAGCTTCAAAACTAAACCATCCAGCAAGGAGAACAAAACTCTGCCAAAATCATCTATCTGAACTACAAATCCTTTTGAATATTTTATAATATCTGAGGTATTAGGCTACTTAATTATTAGACACCTAAACGAAACTCGAAAGCAAAAGTTGGAGAAAATGAGATTTAAGGTATGAAAGGCAAAAAATATTCCTTCTCATTATTTTGGAAGGCAGATATGCTTACTGACGTTTGATAATAATTATATTCCTTGACTTAAAAGCACTATTCGCCTCTGAGACGGCATGTACATTTGTATACATTCACTAGTCTTCGAGAGTTGGTTCCTGACGAAATTTCAGCACGGATCAGAGAGGTTCAGGTAGATTTTCCATACTTGTGTCATTTGTGACACAGGATAAATACCTTCCTGGGAGATAAAGTAACAACATTCTGAACAATAAGTAACTCTCTATCACTCTACAGTCGTAAAACATGGTTTATAAAAGTAGGAAATATGGGCAGACTGTAGGTTTTTGAAGTACGTGTCTTTTGTTGTGAATCAGTCAAGTAAGCAATGGCGATGTTAAAAATATAGTTCTAAGCAAACATGGGAAATTAATTGATGTGGCTAAAAATATTCATCAACTGGGGTGGGTAGGACGTTTTACATTTAAACAACCACCACCTACCTTGATTTTTCATGTTGGTTGTAGTACGATTAAGTTGGGTAAAAATGAATGAAGGTAACAAAAAAAGACGTGGGATTAGTCTATGAAACCAGTGACCGTTGAAACGACCTGCATTGACAGATGGAGGTTACCGAGTTAAGGTGAGCACGATAATTGCGATTAGCATGCTGAAACTGTAGGTCACAGGCGTGGTTGCATCCAGTTTTTATTCATCCGGACACATAAAGCTGTGTTTTTCATACATATATAATGACATCCCTTTCTTGAGTCGTATTTCTCCCTTCACGGTGAGGGCAACCGTGAAGCAACATACATCCTCAACAAAAACGGCTAAGAAAATCCGTAGTTTCACTCAACAATAAAAAAGCCATTGGTATTTTTCTAAAGCAATTAAAGAAAACGGATAGACAGCCGTATAAATGATGCCCATCGCAAGGTAGATTGCGATGGTAACCAAAAATTACTACCGCTTGCTGTGACTATGTTCAGGTAATCACCTATTTCTGGTAAGTAAAAGGAAGAATATCTTTTGACATGGCGACCCCCGAAGTCGACCCAACGATTGACTCAACTGGTCATTTCAGTTACAACGCAGAACACCGTACGTACATACATCAGTTCAAGTTGCCATACCACATTACCATAGAGATTCAGTTGTCACTTTAAATCCCATAGTAGTAGAGGTAGTGGAAGTATTATCAGTAACAGGAGAGATTAGGGTTCGAGGATATTATTCAAAAAGTAGAACGTAATGAATTACACTTAAAAACAAAAAGATAAAGGTGATGAGGAACTCTGAAGGTTTGTGTTTGAGAGAATACAAACAATGAATGCACCTACGCCCTCGCAAACGGTTTGGAGCTATACCATTTAAGGTCTCTAAGCGTCAGTTATAAGACCTGACAGTGTGAATATCTGGTCTATACATCCACGTCCGGGTCTGAAACCAGTCTGGTTTTTCTAGTCTGTTCTTCACGAGCTCCAGTTAGGCGTCTAAAAATAACTGACGCTAACAATTTAGAAACTATATTAGTTAGACTAATTCCCCTGTGATTAACACAAGAAGACTTTTGTACTTTCTTATAAATTGGCACAATCAGCGATTGAGACCAGTCAGATGGTAGTACGCCCAGTTCCCGGATTCTACCCGAGATTTCAGTCAATCTAGCTGACAAAACTGGGCCACCATCCTTAAAAATCTCAGGCGTCAATCTATCAGAACCCACTGCTCGCCCTCGTTTCAGATTTCCTACAGCTTTCTCAACTTCATAACGATTACGAGGGCTTGGGTCGACTTGCCATTCAGGATGACTGGAGATCGTGGGCAACCGAAGTGTGGCTGAAGGCCAGTTGAACTGATCCCTAAAGTGTTCTGCTCATCGATCCAATCTCCTGGATTGAGAATGAATGATACAGCCATCCTTTTCTGAGATAGTTTCGCTAACAGATGGATTTCTAATACCGGTTTCCTTTATAAGGCGGAACAACTGTCTACTGTTGCCTATCGCCGCTGCCTTTTCCATCTCCCTTGCTTTCGCTATCCACAACTATTCTCGATCATTGCGTATACTTTTTATCAGCCTGCACCTAAGCTAACTCCGCTCTTCATCGCACTCAGAGCCAGACGGGTTGAGCTTTCGAGCATCCATCAGTACCAATTACTACATGGCTGCCTAACTGTTTTTCTGGTTGTTCCTGAAATATATTCTTAGCTTTGTGATCATTAAGTAGAACCCTAGCAGGTTTCCTTGCTATATTTTTTTTGCGTCCAGCGAGACGCAAACAAATACGCGCTCGCACTAGAGCATGGTCTGAGCCTAAACATGTGCCCCAGAACGAGCGACAGTCCTCTATTGAACTCTTTCATCGGTGGCTGATGACAATGTGATCTAGTTGGGTCCAGCGTTAAGACGACTTCGAAAGTCGCCAGGTGTAGAGATATTTTTCCTTATGCTTATAGTTGGTGTTTGCCAGAAATAGGAACTTATTTGAGCATAGTTGCAGCAGACGGTCGCCATTATCTGTTCTATTAGCCGCGACACCATATGATCCACCCATGGGTCTTTCCTTTTCACTTAGTCAAACTACTTGAGCGTTAAAGTCACCAGCCATTATTACTACATCAGAGCGACTAACTTTTCGGAGGAGTTTGGAAAGCTCTCTGTAAAATTCATCTTTTATCTCATCTGAACTGCAGTCAGTGGGAGCGTAGGCAGATACGACGAAGAGGCAACGGCAAGTGTCCCTATCCTTCCGAGTCCTTACTGTCCCGTTTAGTCGGACAGCGCATAAGCGACTGTCTATCGGAGTCCAGTCTAGGAGAGCTAATCCTGCCCTACGACTTAATGCTATGCCTTCGCCAGCAATACCCCTGGAAGCAGCATCAGGGCTTCCAGATACGCGAAGACTGAAACGAGTTGCACCTTTATCTTGACATGCAGAGGTCAGGCGAATAACGCTACTGGGATCCTGTATGCGCGTTTTCGAGAAGCAGCATACATTTATGGCGCGAGATTCTAAAGTCTTAGCTAGGAAAGCCTGTTGTCCTATTTGACACAATGTCCGAACATTAAATGCTCCAAAATGTAATTCAGAACGAGGTTTCCGGGGGCCAAGAATAACGTTTCATGAACTGGCATCGTTCGCATTAGCGGTGCAGTGTGATACAGGAACGTGAGAAGAGTTCATTGTAGAGATAAGAGAGATGTTAGGGGGTGTAGGAAGGATTATATTGTGACCAATTTGGTCTCGCGTGCTGTTACGGGTATGAGGGCGGATGTTACTTAACGGCTTCCCACACCGTGGAAGGGTGTTTCTTAAAGAACCTGAAAAGTAAGGTAGATTAGCTTTGGTCTTATAGACCTGGTGTCACATGATCTACCGTAAGATACTACTTCTAGATTATAGACCTTATATGATAAAGTTCAAAATCAGTTACAATGATGTGAGTGAATCTATTCTTATTTTCATTAGTATTCCATATCTATAACGGTCTGTAGGATATTTTTCGAACGACGCTTTCCATATGTAGCATTTTTTACTGTTAAGGGTACTATTATTTTGAAAGTTTTGCTTTTTATCCCGTTAGCTCCTTTTTTATGCTGACATGAAGCGTGAAAAATTTGAGTGATGAGCATTTGTGCGAAGATATATATATTAATTGGTAGACGAGACTTTTATGTACGCAGCTTAAAACTTATGGATAAACAAATTTACGTATTTAATTGGTGCACTTACCTATATCCATAGGATCATCGCATGGTACTGATTCTTCTACTGTCACTTCTAGAGGTTGTGTTCGAACCTGAAAAACATTTGAATTATACTTTGTGATTCCATATCAGAATAGTGAACATAGTTAAGTCAAAATTAAATGTAGGGTTTTAAACCTCTATCTGGATCGTTAACAGGTCTAGATAGTTTTAACCATATGTGATGGGATGACTGATATGTTACCAAGTACACGAAATCTGTAGGAAGCTTACAATAAAGTTACCAGAAAAATCGAATACTTTTCAAGCTGATACACATACTGTACTTTTCCAGTATCTGCTGATTTGCAGGACTTAATAGTTAACAATGTCCCGTCTAATTTAGGCTTTTGTATCCAATTAACCCCTGAGACAAGAAAGTAAAAACCCAAAATTCTACTGGAATTCATGCTTTATTGTCCGTTTATTGTTTTTTTCCATAAAAATTATATCTATTAAGGATAACAGAACTCCGTCTAGGGCCTCCTGACGCTACTGTCGGTCCCAAGCCCAGATAAGGGAGGAAGGTTGGGCGTGGGGGTGGCCACCCCATCTCGTAGAAAACTAACTCGCTAAAAAGATTCTGACCAGAAAAAGACTAACAGACGAGCATATAGCTAACAAATATAACCAATTATATCATGTATATACTATATGTGGTGCGAAGATTAGAAAATTTGTTTAGGTATTAGAACATAAGCTACGAGAGGCTCACTACACACATACAAAGGAGAAATTTTAAGCGGTTTGCACAACTGCAAAGAGAGGAAACTGGCTAGAATGAAAGCAAAAATGAAAAATAACTCTACCAGAAGTAATATAATCCTAAAGATCGAGTAAAAGGAGAGAAAGAAATGAATTGAGTAGGGGAACGAAAGGTAATGTGTAATACTAAGGTCAAGGCTCATAGCAGAAAAACATACAAAATTGAATATCAACGGATTTTAACCGTGCTATTTTGTTAAATATCCTAAGCTGTCCATCAAAATGCACAACAGCATCACAGGCTAATTTTAAAAAAATTACACTAAATAAATTAAAATACGAACTAAATCATATAAGGAAGGAATTAGCCAAAATTCCGAATTCGCATACAATGATGAAATTAGGGAAAATTTTGAGACGAAGAGATGTGACAGTGAGCCGGGTGCATGGAAGCACATTTTAACTGTTTTGAGTTCAAGTGTTAACAATGTCAGTCAGCTAAAATGTAGAACTTGATACTCACGTTTATCAGTTCAAGTTTTCATGCCATATTAGCATACAGGGATGGAATTTTTAGTTCAAAATAGTACAGGTTGTAGTAGTGTTAGCGGTAATGGGAAAGTTTAGGGAACGAAGATGTGATTCCAGAAGCATAATCCAGTGAGGCAAATTTAAAGAGAGAAAAAATGTTGGATTAGAATTTGAGACAAGGCAAGGATTGGATACATCTGCGTCATTACAAACGATTTTCAGTCTCAAACTACCGGTTACGACCGTCTCGCAGACTCCAACCAAGTAGTCTACATCTACTGACACGACTCATTCCAGTTGTCAGTGGCTTCATGGATTTGTACCATGTTTTGGTTTGACCGCGCCCAGCTTCCTTCCAACCTACTCTTACATCAGACAACACTGCTTGTCGAGGCAGTTTGTGGTTAGATATATGTAGCACATGTCCCAACCACCTCAACTGATAAGGATTCACTACTTCATCGATTGATTTGTCATCGTTACCTAGTACCCTCTTCCTAACATCACCATTGCTTACTCGGTGGTCTCAGGGTATTAGAGCAATTCTGCAAAGACACTTACGACCGAGTACTAGTAACCTACGAATGGAGCGATATGATGCGCAGTAAACTCATCCCTTGCTTTGGTTTGAAACTCAGTCAAGCAGAGGAAGTAAATAATAAGCATGTTGAAAACACCAGACCACTAAGATGACAAAATCCAAGCTTAAGGAACTATTTAACCTTTTGCTACTTCTACTTATTTCGTTTTAGTTATAAAGAAATTTTGTTACAAGTAGGCAAAAAAGTACATAGATGCCGCATAATAAAAATGAAGTTATGAAGATATAGAGAAAGAACAGTGAGTATAATCACATTTCTATCCTACAAATCGAAGGTCCCGATACCAAAAAACTGCAATAATTTAGGGAAATAAAGTTTGTGACACCGCACGAGACGGCAGACATTGAGAACGAATGGAAGCCGTGGCATATCTGTTTTACATCTAGTAGCGGACAGTGTTTTACACCAATATCTTACGTTTATAAAACATTGGTTAGAAAACAATTCAGTAAGGCAACTGGTGCACAAACGTCGATCTCTATATTAAGAATGTTTACAATAACATAAAAAATCAACGAACATTTATAACAATAAAATGATCTCAAAGACAGCAGATCATGCTAACTGTTTGAGTGAATGTTAAATTTACAGAGAACAATGACATAAAACATATTTAAACTCACGTGTTCCATATCAGGTTGATTAGCTGAAGGGGAAACACTATTATTCGCTGGAGTTTGGAAGTTTTGTGATGGAATCGATGACTGGTTGTTGAAATGGACAAGTGGTTGACAGAAGACGACTGGGGGAGGAGGAGGAGGGGGTGGGGGAGGGACTAAATAATTTCCATTTGGTCCCACATAAGCAGTGATTGGACATGGGACGCTCGCTTGAACAACTGAATGCTGAACAGGTACTGGGGGGTATGGGTATGGAAACGGAGGTTGAATGCCTTGAGGTGTGGGTATCGCCACAGGATTGTTAATTGACGAACAACCGTAAGGGTCTGTTGAATAAGGTCCTGGAGGGTTCTCAGGGAAAATCTTAGGTGTGAATTCAACACAGTTTTGGTTGTTTAAGGTGCTAGCTATTAGTGACTCCGGGTTCAAGTCGAAGTAATCACAAACAATGTGTTGGACTTGATTCCTGAAACCTTTAGGCATTTTAGCATTGAGTGCCTGATTAACGAGTCTGTCAACTCCACAAGACAGCATTTTAGTACCTAAAAGTTTTGCTCGTAGTTGTTCCCTTAACTTTAACTTTTCAACTCCGGGATTCCATGATTGATCTTGAAGAAATGATGAAACAAAAGAATTCACTTTTTTTTGTAGGACTTGATAGTCTAAGTTCACATCAACATCTTCAAGACATTGCTTTCTAATTTTATCAAATAATCCTTGGCTTTTTATCTGATCTACAATGTGGCTGGCAGTTTGGGATCGTTGTGAACCTATTTCCATAATGTACCGTAACAGTAAACATGAAGCGCTTCCTAAAGGCCCAATATCCAATATCCTAATAGCATTAGACGGAATAGGAGAAAATTTCACCTAACGGCCTTTCGTGTCCTAAATCCATAAAAATATTTCAAGTTTCCCTATGAATGAGTTCTTGTAATTTACTTGAATAATCTGGGTAAGTGAAGAATTCCATGACAAAAATTGTCGTAAGAAGTAGGTGAGACTACATTCCTTTTTACTGTTGTATCTCTAATCTCTAAGCACTTCTCCAGAGATATGTGTTCGGGCAAAACTCAGATAGATGTTTCAATGGATTATCAACATTTTTTAGATTAAAAGAGTTTAATAAAATGAAGCGTATCAATCAATAATAACCTACAGGCATTTAGCGGTCAATAAACACCCAATACAGAAAGTGATGTTAATCTTTGATGAACACACGCTAGCTGGAGCTGTCAGTCACCAGACTCCCGTTTTTTATACTGTGTCACCCATCCTCTGCAACAAATAGCTAATTCAGATAATAGGCTTTTCGAAATGCCAACTGTCGTCCATTTACATCCTTAATCTCCGTCAATTCTGTCATCCAGTTTGACTGAGTTTTAAACCCTCGATTTCATGGACAAAAACATTTTCAGGCGCCGTATATCCACGGCATCTGATGGGAAAAAATCCAGTGATATAAAGCATTCCTTTTTATTGTGTGAATCCAAGTCCCCGAAATAGATTTGCGACCGACTTGTGCATACGTCCCACCTTATACTTTCAGTATAAAAGTAGGCGAAGAACCACTATTTCCATATACCGAATAGAGTTGAATAAAATTTTTTAAAGTAGGATGAAAGGTTCTCGAGTAACAATGACCAAAACGTGTATGAATTTTTCAATACAAGGTTTATTCAATGTTTAGTTTTCGTCACAGCTAGTGAAGAAGATTTAAAAACATAGAATGACAAGACTCCTATATTTCGTTTTATTCTAGGGGCCTGTGGAGGAAAAATGACTTACAGTGTCTCAAATAGGCGCTTTACATTTTAATTGCTATACAAGTGTTGATTATTATCGATCCAGCCTTAAAATCACGTAATATCCTCCAGAGTTCTAGTCCGTCATTTTGTTGTAATAGTGTGAAGTAATAACTCAAGCGGTACTTACTGAGGTAGGTTGCCATTATGTAGCAGGAGAGGACTTGCCAGCACTTGTTTTTCGGCACTTCATTAGGGTGTTTTACTGCCAGAAAAGGTTTGAAGTGTGACCCAATCTCAAAAATTCGACTATTTGGACATACGTTAGGCTAGCCCATCATTTGTGACTAAATAACTATCAGCACGAGCCTAAATTACAGAACAAGTTTGACTACCCCTATCAAAAACCTACGAGAAAAAGATCTATTTCACGTCCACCTTCTTATTGTGATCGGTCGATCTTTCCACAACAGTCGGCCGGTCGGTGATACAGAGATAGCCTTCCCTTAAGCCCTGCTACTGAGGCGAAAAGAGGTAGTAGAAACAGTAGTAGTGGCAGTAGTACGCCATCGCGTTTCAGGGATTTCATAACCGTTAAAAGTGATAGCAACAGACTGCTTGGAGGTTTATCATGACGGCACCCTCTGAAAATGGATGCCGTTCATTCCAGACTCGAAATGTTTGGGTTGTGCTTCGGTTTCGCAAACAGTGAACCATATGCCTAGGAAATTTTCAGTATTAAGGGCACTTCACTCAACATACCAGAGTGAACTATATCCTGGTTAGATTTAGGAGCCGTTTTCAATACACAATGATTAGGCCTACTCCCAAACCTCTAGTTGAGTTCCAGTCGGGCCCTCACTGATATCGATTGTTGGCAACGGTTAAGATGTCTGTAAAAACTATTATTTATGAGGCACCGAGGTAACACTGTCATTGTCTAGTGGACCACTAGAACCTGAAAATTCAAAACATGTGATCCTGGATAATCAAAACTAGGATGCACAGCCGGACAGTCCTTCGGATTCGTGCTACATCCCTAGTTGACCTTCAACTGAGACTGGCAATTATTTTTGTCTGGCGCTATTGGGCACTTATTCCTTGCTTGTTTGAGAGGCATATACCTGATTTCGCTACAGGTTTATTAGTATTCCAACAACCAGTGCCGTTTTAGTCTCAGTCTACGAAGAATGTGGCTCAATAAAACCTTAGGCTGCTCGTGGCATTCAGAAACCACTAGTAACACAGACTCTTCTGTGTCAGGTTAGATTATATTCAGTAAAAAATCCTAGTGATGATCTATATCAAGCCGGGTGTGAGCCTCTTATCCAATATGCTGTATATTTTCCTTAGTGTTTACACATTCAGCCACTTTAAATGTTGACACTTGTTCCCACCAGAATCCTGGATTAAAATGGCCAGAAGACTGAATGAATTTTACTAGTCCTACATTCAAAGACCTCTTGCTGGTTTAGTGGGGATCGAGTCCAGATTGACTATGATCACCACTGAGTACTGATTACGAACCCGTCACAGAGAAGAAGGGTTATTCCATGGTAATGAATATATTCGCTATCGATTTCGTGGAATACCGAAATCGAGCCAGAAAAGTGAAACGAAATTACAGAGACAATGGAGATGGTGGAGAAGATTCGTAGCTCCGGTGGATGATTGTGGTGGTGGTGTTTGGTTCTCTGAGGTTCTATCTGAAGTTTGTGCTGATGTTGTTCAGAAGAACAGTGAAAGCTCCACAACCAAAACACCCAGCTCAGAGAACCAAACACCACCACCACCACCAAAATGACAGCAACACAAACAGAATGTTTGCGCGTACAGAGTGTAATGGACAAAACCTATGGTTAAACAATCACTGGTACAGTCGGTTACAATAATGAATGTTTCTATTAAACCATTTGCGTTCTCTTCATAAAAGTAGATCCACCACAGTGGATCCAGCATTTTTAAATCCTTTGGCAGATAGAATAACATCACAATAAAGAGAGACAGTAGTAGCTGGATTGTTTTCGGACCACACCATCTTTAAATGGTAATATAAATAAGAAATAGGGAGCACCTAGAATACTTAACGGAGATGACAAGGCCCCTCCAAGCAATCGTGGTCACTCTTTGTATCACTTTCCTTTATATGTTGAAAGTATTATTGCCTTCCTGCCACGAATGCTTCCTCAAGGGACTCATAAAAAACAAACACTCGACTGTGTCAATAGAATATGTAAGGCTAGACAATTACACAATTCGTGCATAGGACCTTATAGTTAAGTAGTCATACTATGGCAAGTTCACAGTATTAAATCAGATCTATTACTCTAGTAGCCAATAAACACACTAATACCTGCTTAGACTGAAGTTTTACAGAACTCCATCGGTCGATAAATAAATGGAAAAATTTTCCGAATGCTGGGAAGTCTATGGACCTCCATCTATGGACTTTCTGTAGTATCATCAAATAATTCTGTTCCAGTAAGCGTGTCGAAATACAAAGTCGTAATCTGGCGTTTCCAAAGCCACGATCAGTCTACTTTCAGTTCACTGAGATGATGTCCAGGATATATTTAGTCCAAAGATTCTTGTCACATGTACGAAGTATCAAGAAATCGCGATTATTATTCTCTCACCGTCAGTTTTTCGTAGGGGCGGGTTATTTGTGTGCAGTATTCGAATTTCGATTCATAAAAAATAGGGAACATCTCAATACTTGTGCGGTTAAAAGTTCTGCCTATTAATCAAAGGGCTATAAATTTCTCAACAGCTAATGTACGACTATGTGCGGTGGTTTTCATGTCTTCACTGACCGTGAATCTTAGATCTTTGTGTGTTAGGTCAGCGTTATTCACAGTGCGTGTATTTTTACATGTGTCCAATATATATCATAATCTACGCGAAGACAGCAGTCTGTAACTGCTGACTGTAGAGTCGTTCTTTCGATTTCCTTAGCTTTTTTGACGCTCACAAAATTACGTTTAGTTTTTCACTCTCCGTATCTTTACAAGGCTTGCACGGAACAAGAGGTTTGATTATAGAGGGTACGGTCATTTACATACATGAGTAGAAATACTAAAGGCAAAACTATACCTTAAGTTACTACGTTTACTTTGGTTTCCCAGCTAAAGTAGTTGAAGTTTAAACCTACTTCACGTTCATATCTAACCAATATGTGGTTCATCTTTAGAGGAGGGATACTTTTAGTGCAGATATTGCTTGGCTTAAATAACAGTCTGGAATGTACCGCTTTTTCGTCAAACTTACTGACGTCAGGAAGTGCAACATCTATTGGCTGCTTTATATTTTTAAAGCCCTAACATCCTACAGCAGACAGTGTCAGGGTTTTGCCCAAATGATGATAAATGCCTTTAGAAAATTCTTTTTGAATATACTAAGGACTACGTCAGTCAAAATTCGAAAGTTTATGCTGTGACCCATTATAGAGATGAGACTTATGGCATCCATCTTCCAATCGTCTGTTCACTCACGTTGAGCTACAGGCAGCCTGAAACATAGGTCTGAATGATATGAGATGAATTTATTTAGTAGCCGTAAACATCTTTTTTAGATTTGCTTACATAGGTTATATATCAAATAGTTACAGCCACTAAAACTTGAAAAGTAGGTATATCTTGTTTTCTTGAGGTACTTTGTCAGCTGTGCTTTTAGTCCGCAACTCAAATTCATTTTCCGTGATACTGTTGTCTTTGTTACCCTGTTGTCGCGTACGAGCGTTGTCGGACTCTAAATTGCAAGTTCATATCATACAGTTTTGCTTTATAAAAGTTTAAACTTGGTTTTATAATAGTGAATTACGTTTGCTGTTACTCCTGGCTTAGCAGAATCGTACACCTGATTCATAGCGATCCATTTCTACATTTAGTTAATGAGCGAAAGACTTTTAGATTTAATGGTGTCCTATCTGTTGAATAAAGTTTGTTTTTCCCCATATATGTTACGGTGTAAGAGCTGTTACTGGAGTTGTATTGTCTGTTACGTAACCTGATATTAAAATGTGGTTGATTTACCGTAAATTCATTTGGTTCCAAATAATACAAAGGAGGTTTCTCACGTTTATGTCTTGACCTAGTCACATCCTATCTATAGTATATCACGGAACTTCTACTGCTTTGGTCCTTTTTGTGTCAAAACTGATCATCAAAATTAAAACTTATCTATATCTAAAAACCACTCTAATTGTGCCAGACCATCATAAAAATCTGTGGTTCCCTTTTATACTTTACAAAATGTTTAGTTCTACTTCCTATGAACACAAATATATCATTTGTGTATGCAATCGGAACTTGTATTATGTACCTCATCTTTGCAAATGTTTGCTGATTTGTGGAACCCAATTGGCTAGTGATACTGTTTACTCGATTTCAGTATACGCCACTTTATCTCTGTAGTGCACTTCACTGGAGTAATGTAATAATTTACGTATTACCTGTCCAGTTAGTAAACACCTCAGTAGTTTGACTCTCTACTTCAATGGATCCTTCTATGTTTGCTTGTGCAACTAGGATCTCATATATGCAGTCCAACTTTATGGGGGGGGGTCATTAATAAACGTTAGCAGTGCTACGGATAATTTGATCAGCAGTCCTTTCAGCTTATAGCTTCTTGATTGGTTATTGGTTTGTTGTAGCTACAGTGCTTTAGTACGGCATTTGAGTCTCAATTTGGGAAGGTTGCAGTGTCATACTGTTGAGGAATATTGATACACATGTTAATCTCGCATATAATTTCAAACGTTTCTTTCACAGAAGTGCGCTTAATTAGCACATTTCGTAATTATTTCATTTGATTCCTAAGCATCACAGTGATTTGAAAAATTAACGTTTACTCATAAGTTTACGGATTTTCACAAGGAGATCAAGCGTTTAGGATACAATGCATGCTAGATCCAGATTAAGCACTATTGCATGAAGTGTATTTCGACCACACCTGACTTTGTATTTAATTGGTGACTTGGAAGTTTCATGTGACTTTGATTAGTGATAAGATCAAATATATGAGCAAATTGTGTGTCTAGTAATTCTTATCTCTGCAAATTATAAAGTCTTGAAAGCAATGTAAAATAAGATAAGATGTTGTTCACAAAAATTTAAGTAGTTAGTGAAAGCCGTACACAAATCTGTACCAGTTACTTAATGGTTAAGGTATTCGACTTTCGAGGTCTGAATCCCACTCCATCCGCTTTAATTTAGTCAACTAGGTAGTACCATTAGTTATAATACGTAGGGTAACTTTTATCCAAGTACCTGAGGATCAAGTTAACTTACTTGTAATTTTGAAATCCTTCTTAACTCTAACCGGGATGTTTAGTTAAAAATTCGTGTCGATAAAGTAGCTAACAACCCGGTCGATCGAGATATTAGTCACAGTTCGGAAAAACTATCGAATGTTTTAGAATTGATTAAGTGTTGCTATCAAGGGAATCTAGAATACACATTTCGTTCATTTAGGGACTCCAACTGAATGTACCCACATCCTAGAGTTGATATTTAGTCAAGTACCACTTGCTTCAAACGCTGTCAATCGTTCAAGTTTTAATCATGGGTATTAAAAACAATTAAATTAAATCTCATACCCCTTACGCAAATGCGTAACCATCTGAACCCAGTAGTTAAGTGGATAATTTGACCACGTTTGAAGCAAACGGTACTGGGTTTGAGTCCAGGATGAATATCAACTGTGGGATGTAGGTACATCCAGTTGGCTAGTCCCGAACAGGAAAGACGCGCTTCCCGGATTCCACTGCTGACCACATCCCATCTGTTTGGTATCACCTTGTACCACAGTAGCCATATTGAAGCGATTCGCATATGATCGCCATGTACCAACCAAGAGTATCAGCAACGAGATAATGAGGCTTCACAATTATAAAAATTTACTCATTTGGCAAAAAAGGTTGTTTCATTCACGAATAAATAAGCTGAAAAGCGTTACTTTCATGAGTAATCAAACCTTCCTCTGTTCATTTGCAACTTCCTGTTCAAAAGTGATTCAACTTATTAATTAACTGTAATCGAAGTTATAAACACTATAAACTAGTAGTTGCGGATCAATTCCACCATTGAGGACCTTGGCTATTACTATCTATACTCGTTTTCGAAGTTTCGAGTAGCTCTGTTAATAATGGTCTATTTACATTTATGTGACAATGTGCACCAAGATAATTGTAATCAGAAAAAACATGTAGATCATTTTTTGGTACTGATTTCTGTCCCCGGCAATATCTGATCATGTCTGTAACCACTGATTTGCGTCATCTTTACAAGTCTAAAAGTCCTTAAGTTGGGAATTCGACTCCAATCAACAGCTTGAGACTGTTCCTTGTATTTTTGATTGGAGCTATAAATTACTGAGTAGAAAAGTGTTTTCTAAACAGTTGATCATGTGGGTAACGACATCTCAGCTGGCTGGTTGTACGCAACTGAATATTATAAAATTTTAGTGAGTATATGCGTACACTAGTAATCAAGAATGTACTTGTTTAATGTGTTGCAGTTTTTACTTCGTGTTCTTATAAACATTTGGATGCTTACAAACCGTATGGTTCGTAAAAATGGTTAGTAAACCAATCAACACAACCTGATGCCACATTAAAATTAATGATAGTTATTAATTACAATACTTTTGAGTGTAGTAAAAGATTTTAAGATTAATATTTTATTCTTAGCCTTATTTTTCACTTTAAATTTCTCAGATGTTCATGCGCCGGAGTAAATTTAAACATGTCTTCGGAAAACCATGCAAGAAGGAATGTTGCTATGAAGACATTCGAATAACGAAAAGTAGTTGGGATGCCCGTTTTTGTGCTGTAAACCCGAAGTACCTTGCAATTATTACTGAAGCTGCTGGGGGCGGATCATTCCTTGTTATACCTATTGAGAAGGTAATTTCCTTTACGCTGATTATTCTGTGTAGATAAATTACGGCACATCTTGTTGACTGCTTACTCAAGCATTTTGTCATTTTGACAGTAATTTAATATGGCTGGGTTGAAAATTATTTTGGTAACTGCTAAGTGATGTTTATTTTGAAGCAAAAGTTTACTAATCTCAACTAGAAGACCAATCTCACCTCCAAGTTTAAAGAACCCTATACATTTTTGAGTGATCTTAGCAGGCGTGGCTCATAGAAGGGCACACTCTCTTTTATTTGTGTGAATATTGTTACCGAAATCATATCATGTGTTCTTATTGATCTAGGAAGGTACTATCCTTGTTATTCTTTCTAACTTCAGATCAGTTTGTATTTTGTTTTGTAATGACTGTAATTATTTAGGTGTAAGAATCGTCCGTCAAGGTGAAGTATGATGCTTACCTGAAAAAACAAAATTTTTATTTTTTCCAGTGACAGTTATCAGGCTTAATTACTTGCCCTCGCCTGTTACCCCCAGTGAAGCATAGGCTGCCGACCAGTATTTTCCAACCTATTCTTTCCTGGGCCTCCCTTTCTAGTTCTGTTCAATTTTTGTTCATTCTCATGTCTTTCTATATTTCTTGGCGTAATGTGTTTCTGGTCTTCCTCTTTTCCTTTGACCCTGAGGGTTCCAAGTTAGGACTTGTGACGCAGTTAGGTGCTTCACTCGGTGTTTGTCCTATCCACTTCCAGCGTTTCTTCCTGATTTCTCCCTCAGCTGGAGTTTGGTTTGTTCTCTCCTACAGTAGGTTGTTGCTGATGGTATCTGGCCAACGGATCCGACGTATCATGTGTAGACAACTGTTAAAAGGCACTTGTATCCACTGGATGATGGCTTTGTTAGTTCTCCAAGTTTCCGCCCCATACAATAGAACTGTCTTGACATGTGAATTGAAAATTCTGACCTTGGTGTTTGTCGATAGTTGTTCTGAGTTCAAGATGTTCTTCAACTGTAGAAATACTGTCCTTGCTTTTCTGATTCGTGCCTTTACATCTACATCACATCAACCTTGCTCGTCAATGATGCGGCGCAAATACGTAAAGGCTTTTACATCCTCCAAGGCATCTCCTTCAAGTATAATTTGGTTGGTGCATGTTGTGTTGTATCAAAGAATCATGAGACCTGCTGATGCGAAGTCTAGGTCGTCCAGCTGCATCTTGTTGTCCACTGTATCCCGTGCTGACAGTCATCAGGCATTCTGCGAGAATTTCAATTTTTGGCACGTAATCGCTGGTATTTTAGATTTGATTCGATCAAGCTCTACGTTGTAGCTGACTAGCGGACTGACTCATTGCATGACGTTCAGTCAACAGTGGCAACAATGACTGTAAAATAATATTGATATGAATCTAAATACGTTTTATCCTATAGATATTATCCATTAAATTGATTGATTCTTATTCTAGCTAATGTTTAGATCTAAAATCAAATGACGCTGTTTTGAGTATTTGGACCAAATCATTAAAAATGCATTATTTTAATGAACTCCTGGATTATTGAGTGTTTTTGATGACCTAATTAAGTAGATTTCGTTAGGCGTTTTTTTCTTAGAACAGTTGGGCACTGTCTAAAGCTAATCATAGATAAAAGTTTTATGCTTCACAAGCTTAAAGATATTAGCACCATATAGGCAATTCACAAATAACTTGAGCTTTTTAATATAATCTTTTTACTGCTGATGAAACTTTGGTTGACTTATTTACCATGTTAATCAGTCTGGTTATACATGTAGAACATGGTTTTACGTTGTGAAGCTCTGAAACAATAAACTATAATAATATCTGTTATAGTTCAGTTACATATCTGAATGTATCAACTTTATTTTGATCAGTCAAATTAAACAGTTGGTTCTCATTCAACGGATTTTTATTTAAGATGTAAATCTAAGTTTTTAGGAAATTATACTTCTTATCTCCCAACTCGTAACAAATTGATCAGTAAGAACTGTGATAATCTTTGTTGATTGTATGCCACATCCTTCACTTAGTTGGTGAGATTTCTGTGGATAAAAAAACCATTTGGAATATGTTTATGTTTATTTTAGTATGTTTTCTTTTGAAATATATGTTTTTCGATCATTGATATTTATCTATATACATATTCACTTATATAGGTGGGTCGGGTAGAACGTGATGCTCCCCTCGTTGCTGGACATACAGGAAGTGTATTAGATATACAATGGTGTCCACACAATGATGATCTTATTGCCAGTGGTTCTGAGGACTGTACTGTAAAAGTCTGGGAAATCCCAGAAGGTGGACTACTCCCAAAAACAAATCTGACTACACCTGTGGCAGACTTGGTATGTCATCAGCGCCGTGTTGGTTTAGTTTTATGGCACCCAACAGCTAAACATGTATTACTATCTGCAGGTAATCGTATTTTCAGTATTGTGGTTGAGAATGCTTATTGATATAGGATATTTTGTGTAGCCATTGCATATCTAAACTTACGAACTTAATTTGCGAAATTCCTGAAGACAAAATAGTATTAATAAAGCAGTCATTTCGAAAAATATTCATGTCCATGTTATTGTTGCCTACAAAATGATTGGATTGAATACTAGACACTTTCAGGTTAATAAATGACGCATTTTGATTCGTAAAATAGTCAGTCAGTCAGCTAAAATGTAGAACTTGATACTCACGTTTATCAGTTCAAGTTTTCATGCCATATTAGCATACAGGGATGGAATTTTTAGTTCAAAATAGTACAGGTTGTAGTAGTGTTAGCGGAAATGGGAAAGTCTAGGGAACGAAGATGTGATTCCAGAAGCATAATCCAGTGAGGCAAATTTAAAGAGAGAAAAAAGGTTGGATTAGAATTTGAGACAAGGCAAGGATTGGATACATCTGCGTCATTACAAACGATTTTCAGTCTCAAACTACCGGTTACGACCGTCTCGCAGACTCCAACCAAGTAGTCTACATCTACTGACACGACTCATTCCAGTTGTCAGTGGCTTCATGGATTTGTACCAGGTTTTGGTTTGACCGCGCCCAGATTCCTTCAAACCTACTCTTACATCAGCCAACACTGCTTGTCGAGGCAGTTTGTGGTTAGATATATGTAGCACATGTCCCAACCACCTCAACTGATAAGGATTCACTACTTCATCGATTGATTTGTCATCGTTACCTAGTACCCTCTTCCTAACATCACCATTGCTCACGGCTCAGAGTTCGATGAAGAGCGGAGTTAGCTTAGGTGCAGGCTGATAAAAAGTATACGCAATGATCGAGAATAGTTGTGGATAGCGAAAGCAAGGGAGATGGAAAAGGCAGCGGCGATAGGCAACAGTAGACAGTTGTTCCGCCTTATAAAGGAAACCGGTATTAGAAATCCATGTGTTAGCGAAACTATCTCAGAAAAGGATGGCTGTATCATTCATTCTCAATCCAGGAGATTGGATCGATGAGCAGAACACTTTAGGGATCAGTTCAACTGGCCTTCAGCCACACTTCGGTTGCCCACGATCTCCAGTCATCCTGAATGGCAAGTCGACCCAAGCCCTCGTAATCGTTATGAAGTTGAGGAAGCTATAGGAAATCTGAAACGAGGGCGAGCAGTGGGTTCTGATAGATTGACGCCTGAGATTTTTAAGGATGGTGGCCCAGTTTTGGCAGCTAGATTGACTGAAATCTCAGATAGAATCCGGGAACTGGGCGTACTACCATCTGATTGTGCCAATTTATAGGAAAGTACAAAAGTCTTCTTGTGTTAATGACAGGGAAATAAGTCTAACTAATATAGTTTCTAAATTGTTAGCGTCAGTTATTTTTAGACGCCTAACTGGAGCTCGTGAAGAACAGACTAGAAAAACCAGACTGGTTTCAGACCCGGACGTGGATGTATAGACCAGATATTCACACTACGACATGTCCTGGAACACAGACGCACATTTAGGCGTCCGACAATGGTTTTCTTCCTGGACCTTAAGGCAGCATTTGACTCTGTGGATCGTGATGTTCTGTGGCAGTGCCTGTCATTGAAAGGTGTACCAAAGATGTACATTAACCTTATACAAGCTCTCTACTCGAGCACTACAGGTCAAGTTAGAACCTATGGCGAACTGTCATCGGAATTAGTTTCTTCAAGTGTTGTCCGTCAGGGATGTCCACTCTCCCCATTCATGTTCTATTTTGTCATAGACGTGCTGCTAGATATAACATCATCTTCGTCTGAATTATCAGGAGTAGACCTTCTACCAGTAGGATCGCTTTCTGATCTAGAATATGCCGATGACATATTTCTATTCGGTGAAGATGCTGACAAAATGCAGAGTCTTCTGACTACCCTAAGCAACAATGCAAGCATGTTCGGGATGCGGTTTTCCCCTTCGAAATGCAAAATGTTGCTTCAAGATTGGGTTTTATCGGTACCTGAACTAGTGAAAGGGAGTGAAGTGGTCTAGTGAGTTGACCGCTTCACTTATCTCGCGTTCCTCATCAGTGCCGATGGCCTGGTGACTGACGAATTCTCAACACGGATACAGAATGCTCGATTGGCTTTTGCCAACCTTCTTCACTTATGGCGAAGGCGAGATATCCCTTTGCTAACCAAAAGACGAGTGGGTCCGCGAGATGATAATAATCGATGGTTAGAGACCCTGAGTGACATGGCTCAAAACTGTTTGCAATAGAGCAGGTGCATTTACTCTTTGTGTTCTATGAAATTCTAACCTGAATTCGTCATCACCTCTGTCGTTCTCTTTCTAAATTTACCTCACTGAATTATACTTCTTGAATTACATCTTCGAACCCTTGATTTCTCCGATTACTTCTCATACTTTTACTACCTCTACTACTATCGGATTTGAATTGACATTTATATCTTTGTGATAATGTGGTATGACAACTTGAACTGCTGTATTTACGTGCTAAGTTTTATGTTGCTGTTGATGATGATGAACCTTCATCTAATATGTAGTCTTTCTTACTGTGAACTAGTAAAATATAATCCAAGTATTGATTTGTTTTCTTTTCCCATTGATTAATTCTGGGCACTTTCTACTTTTAATTGATTAATTTATTCTATTCGGTTTCTAAATTTGGGAATACAATATATTTTGTAATTATCTAAATTCTTTTTAACAGAAAAAGCTCTGAAAATCTAGTATTCTATTGATTTTCATTAAGTTTGTTGATGTGTTTCTCTTGTAGTATTAATAGTGGTGATTTGCCTGGTGTGTTATATTGTTATTGCATCTGTTTATTATATTGGTCATCATTTGTTCATTTTATCTTAATCCGAAAAAATCTACAATAATACTACTACACATTGTACATATTCTAAGCAGTTCGTCAATGAAAACCAACATATTGCCTACACACATATCCACTGGCCTAAATTTATGTACCACATCACAGTGAGATAACAATTAACATGATAAATACTAAAGTGGCAGAGTAGTAGTAGTAGTAGTAGCAGTAGTAGAACCAGTGGTAGTTAGAACTATTTAACAAATAACTTAAATGATTATCTAGTTGGTTGTTTACGTAAGTTGATTTATCAGGTGGTTTAATCAATTTGTAATTTTCATTTTCACTCGTATAAATAATTTTTACCATATCATTTTATGCCATGGTGTCTCAGACAGCGTAATTAAACAATCTGAAAACCCTGAAACACAATAGGTTAAATTTTACAGTTAAAAATCTCCTTTACTATCTAACATTTTAAAGTAAATAAGTTATTAGTGCGTTGGTTAGTTTATACAACGATAATTTCAAATGAAATTTTTGTATTTATAAAACAACTTCTCGTTTTGATTATAAATATTCATCACATTGATTTTCATTTCATGTTTGATGTGTATTTTATCTGATTTCACGGTTACAAAATTCTAGTTATTGTCAATCGTGTCGTTGTTGTCGTTTGTTTGTGTCATTTATTCGTCTTTTTTCTGTCAGTCAAATGAAAAATTAGTCACTTACTTGTCTCTTTATTACGCCAATAAAACATAAATGGTGTACACGAAATGTTCTTACCAGAAGTTGTGTGTTACTGGTTAAAAAATTTAATTGCTAATTATTGTGTTGAATTACTACACCCTGACTTGCCTACTTTCTTGGTAATCCAGTAGAGTATTATCAAAAACTCACATAAATTGTGTAGTTAAGCTAAGTAATTAAGCCTGGGTTCAAATAATGAGTCAAAATATTACCTTTATGGAATTCATGTTAGTGAACTTTCTGTTGCAATGTTTACATCAAATTATAAATGATAAACATGACATGAATATACATGAATGTGCATTAGTCACACACATTAATGTAGAGCTTGGGACTCGTACATCGGCTGAGGTTGCTACAATAACACAGTAAGATCAATACCATAGTAGTGGGTCTGTTAATGATAATGAAAATGATTAGATATAGAATATAATTGAAGAAGAACAATTAGATTGGGTGTATTTGTATCACTATGACCGATTGTGACCCCTGTCACTCAACTTCTCTAACCGTTAATCACATTTCTTGCACATACTACAACTAGACAGACACTTCATACTAGATAGATCTAACAACACAGCTCGGTCCACTAGTTAAACGTTTCGTGGACTTACATCACGTCTTCGACCGACCCTCTCTACGGCTCTCTTTCAACTAACTTCGCATTTCGAAAATGTAGGTGCTTGGCTGTGCCATATTCTAGCCACTTCAGTCAATAATTTTCCATCTTTCCTTAGTATTCTGTGCCTTACCTCAAAATTGTTTACTTGATTGTTTCCCGATATACGAGCAATGTTTCTAAGGCACCTATAATCAAAAACCTTCAACTAATGTATGCATTCTAATATCCTAGAGCACGTTTCACAGACGCTCAGTAATTCAAATTATTTTATAAAAATAGTCTACATATAAAATTATTATAACCGATTAATTTAACAGCTGTCATCATTACTAATTTATTGCTGCTGAATAACGGGATGATCACTTCACTCATCTGAAAAGTTGGATTACCTTTGCCGATTCCAACATTTTAGATGAAGCATGACGTGATATAATTTTGTATCCGACATAAATAAACGTACACTAAATTGCATCTGTTTTAAAACTGCTAGTTTATGATTACGTATCCGCTCACTTGTTTGTTCTTATTAGTATGAAACCCCATCTGCTTTATTTAGCTTCCTTTAGGCTGTTCACATAGTTTGAGGTGTCAGTGTGTCTTGTTTACTTAAGAAAACGTTATGATTTTGTCATCTAAATTTTCCTCTTGATAAAAACATTAGAAACTAGTTTAATTTTTTTAGTTTTATTTCTGGGTAATTTACAAGCATATGCTTTGTCTACTAAAATGAATTCTCCTTGTTTTTAATAAAAGCTAGAAATGCATTTGTCGTTTCGTCTTTGGTGATCTGTACATGCGTGGTTATTCTAACTCCTTATTATTGATATTCAATATTCAAATAGTATTGATTTATTATAATTCCGCATTATAGTTTTTTAATGCTCTTGTTTGTATGTTTGCTTAAATTTTTCATTAACTAGGTGTTGATAATATGGTGTATATATGGAATGTTGCCACAGAAGAACCATTGGTTGAAATAACATTTCCAGATATTGTTTTATCTGCTTGTTTCAATTATAATGGTTCTCGTTTGGTTACAACTTGTAAAGATCGGCATACAAGAGTGGTGGACCCACGCACTGGAACAGTTATTATTGTATGTTTATTGTTGTATTTGTCATAACTATTGTGTGTTAATGATTCAACGAGTTTTATATAACGTGACTTGATTTCCTAATAGTCATAGACTTATTTTAAACACAAAATTATTTCTATTGAAGAGTTGACCGGAAAAAGAAACTGCGACATACAATAAAACCATATTATGAACGACTAAAAAAATCATAGAATAAACAAAATGATAAATAATGGAAAAAGGCAGTTGAATAAGGTGTGAAGACTTGATTTTTTAATTTTTATGATACCTTTTACTGGTCCTAATAAATTGGATAGAAATCTACTGGTTTCGGATCAGGATTTACCAACTGTCCTTAGTGGATCCTCCGTACCCACCAACCCTGTTTTAGTGCTCGAATTCGCATTTCGTCCTGTAAATTTTGTCAACAACATCATTGTCACGAGAATGTAGTAAGTAGAACTTCGTTGTCAGTGGCTACATGTGGGTGACAATGTGTGGGCGGACTCTCCTCACTCTTCTCCGCACCGGGTTGTCTAGTGGCCGCAGACTACTTTTCCATTGTTCACAGGATGTCCTATATTCCGTCGTTCAGATTAACGTAAACGGAGTACGAACTTTAGTGAAAATTATATCTTCAATGGTGTACATTTACAACTGACAAACATTGTGTCTTGCTTTATACCATGTTGTAAGGTTACTTACTAGTTCAGATACCATACTCGAAAGATGGGTTTCATGAGGAACTTATACAATGAATTCAGTTTACAGCAAATATACAATTTCGATTTCATTTCGTTTTTGAACTATGTTTACTTTTTCAATTATGTTATGTGTAGATAGGACATGATGTTACGAATATTTAATTCATATTCTTTACCAATGACTAACTAGATTTATTTGCAATTGAAGATTTCGCATTTTTATGATTGACTTAGTATGCTGTTGAAAAGGAATTTATTTCTTATTCACGTTAATAAGAAAGTATTTTAATATCTCCTTAAATACATTCGAAATACTCTAATTCACATGATTAATTCTTGTAGTTCCTCGTTTGAAGAAGGTTTTCGGTTTCCACAACTATTGATCATTCCAAGCAAACGTAGCTAATCTTTGGATATTTTTATTTATCATAGTGCTAACACGTAATCGTTTCATTGTTTTAAAATGACTGATATTATGACATGAATCTCTAATGCAAAAGATTGTCATACTTTCATTTTTTTAAAATAAAGTTATGATTTTGTGTTGTATAGTAACCATTTGTGTGAAAGTATGCGAAATTTTTCTTTATAGGATGGTATATGTCATCAGGGAAGCAAACCACAGGAAGTTGTTTACCTGAAAGACAATAAGATTTTTACTACCGGTTTTTCACCAATGAGCGAACGCCAATATGCATTATGGAAAGAAGTATGTTGTGCATTGTTTTTCTGATACCCTCGGTTTTTTGTTTTATGAAATGGCTTGTTATGATAAAGTTAAATGTTTTTCTTGAAAAATTAATGCGACCACAAAGTATATTCAATGAAGGAGCATTTAAAGCTGTTCGGTTTTATACAATAGCTAAAAAATCAACTAGAAAGAAAAGTCATTGAATTAGTTCGTTTTGAATTTCTCTAAGTTTTCCCAGAATAGTGCAAAATGCAATATTTACTGCATTTTCAACTCTTTTCTAAGTTCCTTAAGTAAGATTTCATTGTTTTTGGAATATAAGTTAATCTAATTGACTCATATCAACCTTTGATCCCAAAATTTCTAGAAATACCCTCACTTCGCTATCATGCATTTAGACTCTACACTACTTAGCGTTTCTACTGCTGATAAACAATGATAGAACTGTTTTATGTATATCTTTCGTTTTCACTATTCGTTTAGGTATGCAGCATATAACATGGTTCACTTTCCGTCTGTACTCTGTGACATGATTATTTGTAAAAATTATATCAGCAAAACATTTGTACAGTTTTTGTCCATATTGTTCAAAGGATAGCATTTTAAATTCCATTCTAAATGCACAAGTGATTCGTGGCTTTTGTTTGAAGTGTCTAGGAATTCAAAGGCTAATGACCGTACATTGCTATGATTACATTGGTATTTATGTAATGATAAAAATATGGGTTTCTGACAGCGAGATGTGCTAACTCATTGATCAATGACTAAATTTGTTTCTTTTTGTGTTTCCGAAGTCCAGGCTACAAAACAGTAGGCAAAAACTAAATATATTCAAGTGGTAACTGATTGTTAACTCCGTTGATAATCGACAGAGACGTATAGTTTATTGTATAGAAAGCCGTAGTTGTAGGCAATGTGGTTTAGTTTTATGCTTTTCACTGTGACTTAGTTTCTGCTGTTTTTGATACCATTTCCCTATCCACATAGGATTGGAACAAAGTCATGAAAAGTGTACTATGACCTAATGTGAGTTTTAATAGAATAGCATCACAATGAATAGTTACCATAAGTTTTGCTTAAAAGTTGAGTGCGTATTTTCACTTGTACGAATTTCATCATTCACTTAAATTGTCACTTTAGGACGATTTTACTGAACCTTTACATATTCAAGAATTGGATACAAGTAATGGTGTACTGTTTCCTTTCTATGATTCGGATACCAATTTAATATATCTCTGTGGAAAAGTAAGTAATACTTTTGTTTTATATTATATCTAATGTGATTACTTAGTGGTGGTCTTTTGACTTTAACCACTTCAACAATTTTCTGAAATCCTAAAATTTTTATCGTGTCTACTTGTACAGTCATTTCAAATCTTTAAAAGATCTGAGTATCATATCGTTTTATGTATTACATATCATTGTTCCCAAACTGAGGCACTACGTATCACTTTTCTACATGAGCTGATTCGGATTTATTAAATAACTTAGTGCCAAGCTGTAATACGATTGGTTGCTATTACTCGAGACTTTTGTTACTTAGCAACAGACGCACTTCCTTTAGTATTTGAAACATTCTTTGTTTTAAACATTGTATGCCATTGACAAATGAGATCGTTTGACCTGCTAAAACAATTCTAAATTTTATAAACACTATGATACTCCATGATTGCTCAGTTTATTGCTTTTCCAATAAATGGAGTGACAAGATTTGACACAAATTACTCATTTTCACCAATTATCATTGGTTTTATGCTCATAAGATACTTCAACTAACACCTCTTATGTACACTCATTTACAAAAGGAAAAGCAATCAACAAATATTGAGTATTACATACTTTTCATTAGTTTCTAGACTTTTTTCCTCCCGGAAACTTACATACGAACGAAAATAATTTCAAGTGTATTTATTGATAACTTTCTAATGGATTGATTGTTGTCTCTGTTTCTCTCCCTCTTTCTCTTGGCGTATGTATCATCAAAGGTGATAGAAAATATTTGATTTTGTATCACATTTATCTTTCGCCTTCAACTTTCTTTCCTAGTCACATGTTTTTTCAGTCACGTGAATGTTGTTAGCGTATGTATAGGTATTACTAAAAAGTTTAATATCAAGACCTATTTCACTTGTTTTTGTTCTGATGAAATGAATGTATTTGTTAAATTGTTCAAATCATAATAAAAATCTTTCATATGATTTTGATGTGATTTAAATTTCAAAGATTTGTTATTGTTTTGTAAGATATTTTTATTTGTTTCATCCTGTCGTCCCTGATATCCAGTATAAGTTGTATGGTTAATGTTTCTGAAATGTGTATACTTTTTTGTACTTTTCCAATTCTTGCTATTCTATTTCATATGGGACTTGATCTATTACTCACTAAACTCAATAATAGATTCATGTATTTAGTTATTAGTTATAATTTAGATGTTAAGAGCTAATGATACTTCCAGGTTATTCAAACCGAAGTACATGGAATAGCAGAGTTTGAATTTAAAATTTAATAATTGAAATCCACTTGCTTCTACACCACCAAGCTTCATTGTCAGTCAGTTACAACATAAAACTTCGTACGTAAGTACATCAGTTCACGTTACCGTACCACGTTAGCTTCATTGTGTTTGAAGCAGTTGTTTATTTTTTTAGATTTTATTCTTGTTTCAGTAGAACTTTATTCAAATAGTTAATCGATCATTGTTAGACCACCATGAAAAACCTGAAAGCATTAAATGGCTGTTTCGTCCTAGTATGGGACTCATCAGCGGTACGCATCCACATGAACTGATGTACTTACGTACGAAGTTCTACGTTTCATCTAACTGACTGACTGATACATCCACAACCCTTGCCTGCATGAATCAAACCTAGGAATTTCGGTTTCGCACACAAACGCTTAAATTCTAGACCACTGAGTCGGCACCTAACAGCGCTAATGTCTAACTTGAATCAATCCAAGGTATTTCCCAACCTCACCCATTGTCTTTGGTAGTTATAGCCTACACCCGACTGGGTTGAACACCAGTAGTCACAGCTTCTCACTAGAACTCCGAGAATTTCCACACGAAGCTAGTCACTAGTGAGCACATTTTATCTGGAATTAATGGAAATTTCGTTTGATGTGTAATGCATTTGATGGATAAGCATAAGATGTTATTCATCACTTCTATTTATCATACTCAATGTGAATTATGCTTAATTAGTTGTAGCTTACTGACTTTTTTCCATACATTGTATGCATTAAAGAATGAATTACATGAACATGTAGTGCTATAAAAATACAATTATATATTTTCATTCTATGAAAAATATAACGATCAAAACTTGATTTTATTATTCGTTATGGATGTTTGGTTTAAAAGAATTATTTTCAAGAGTGTTTGATGTAGCTCCTCATTTTTTAGCCATTGAACTAAAAAATCCTACGAAAAAAAAAATAAGATGAACACTAACTTTCTAACCTTTTGTTGTTGTGTACATCGTTTCTATCCCAAAGATTACAAAAATAACAGCTATATACACATTGTTTTTTTTTATAAACGACTTTACCTCGGCCTTAAAATCTAGTTGCATTAGTTACAGTGTATATAGCATCTTCAATGTCAAATTGTAGGCCTTAAACTTACTTTCCTAGTTGGGTGTCATAAACAGCCGGAAATACCATCAACCCTAATGTTGGTGTAGTTTATGTCTTCCTTTCTGACAGTAATAAACTTGCAGCTTATTCATAGATCTCAACATTATCTCCTTTTATCATTGAATAATGGTTTTATGATACTGCTAGTATTTAATAAGGTATATAATAAAGTCTTCTGTGAACATTATTAGGCTTTGTTCGACATCCTTATTCCAAAGATCGGATGAATTTCGGATCAAACTATAAATCTAATTGATAACAGTGAGTTTAAGGGAACTAGTTATCGTATCTTATTTTGACAAAATTTGACTTTATTGATGAACTAAATTAAATATTTAGTGTTGTTCAGTCGAGTTTTTTTTTCAGATGATCAACTTTACTTTGATGATTACTAAACAGTTAGATCAGTAACATCAAAAGGCATTTTATTCACTCAACTATATAACTACGATCATAATGGACGCATAGTTAATGTTTAGGTTTATTTATGTTTCCTTGGGCATTTTTTTACAATTGGTAAACTCATGGCGTACCAACACAAAATTAGCTTAGATAGAAAGAAAGCATAATGCTGTTGTATTTCGTATGAATTAGCTACAAATGATTATTTATTTCTTTATGGAAAAGTAAACAAGTTTGTTATCATTTATATTTTTTAGTGGTTGAAAATAATCATAAATTTCAACATTGTTTTGTGCCTTTTTTTACCTTCTCGGTAAAAAGTTTAACGATTCGCTTTATTTCTTCATCGCTTAATTTTTACATCCATATTTGGTAAATTATTCGGGTTTTTTTTCTTTCCACCTACATTCTCCAGTGTAGTAAACTATGAATAAAATAATCTGATTTGTGGATTGTTTATTTATTTTGTTCACCCACGGTAATTAATAATGGTGTTACATGTTTAAACCGAATATTGTATACATATATGTATATATCAAAACACTCAACTTCCATTTATTAGGTTGCACGTTTAAACTTTGCTCCCAACCATTCAGTTTTGATTGACCTAGGAGTAAAAGTCAGCTAGAGTCATATGAATAAAAATTACCATGTGTTACTGAAAATGAACACTTAATGGTAGTAACAGCAAATTCGGTGAATCCGTCAACGAAAACATACAATCCTCAGTCACGTAAATGTTGATAACATAAGCATAATGGTACTTGTTCAGATGTTTTTGATGGCGTATTAAAGTGAAACAGTCGATAAAATTGTTAGTAATGTCAGAACATGTTAATTAAATCGACATCATTTCAAATTTACAAGGGTGACTACACTGCCGCCATACTTTTTCTTATTGATTGTTTGATCTTGATGATAAATATTGAAACTGTGTCATCAGTCAGTCAGTCAGTCACAACGTAGAACTTCATACGTAAGTACATAAGTTAAGGTTGACATATCACATTAGTACAGTCTCAAATGTCAGTTCAAACAACATGAGGAATTCAGAAGATTAGGATCGGAGAGAACACAATGAATGAATGCATCTGCGCCATTGCAAACGATTTTGAGCCATGTCGTTCTAGGTCTCTAACCATCGGTGACTTGCGTCTCGCGGACTCCAGCCAGCTAGCCTACATCTACCAACATGACTCAGTCCACTTGTCAGTGATTTCATGGATTTGTGCCATGTAATGATATTAAACAATCGTCGTGCTAATTATTGAGCCAATATTCTTGAATTACAATACTTGTTTAAACTTTGTAGAAATTGAAGATAGTCCATCTTTCCAATTAGTGATCAACAGTTGGGAGTTAGCAGTTCATAAATTGACATTTGTTTAACTTAACGTTCATTTTTTTCAAACCATATTGCTAACCAATACTATTGCCGGTTGTACTTTTTTGTACCTTGTAAAGCGATAGGTCGTAAAATTTTTATATGCACGAATAATGGACATTATTGGTGTGTTAAAACAAAGAAGATGACTTGTTTAAATATCTAGATGGTGGGAGAAACAACTAACCCGGAAAAATGAACAGGTCACTTATATTGTTTATTGAGTGTCGCTATTTAATGACCATGCTTTCATATTTTGCAAGGATAACATTAACCATCACAAAAAGTTTTTCAAAATTTTGTTTGAATTACACTACTTATGCGCACTTATTGTTTGGTGTTGGATTTTTCTTCACTGACTTTTTATCAGTTAATCTCATGCTTACTCTTTTTACATCAGTTAAACAATACATTTTTCATGTTTTCCTCAAATGGAATGAACAGTGGCTAATAAGCTATTGTCCAATAGTAATCAGAATGCAGTAAAATTATGTGTTGTATTTAGTGTACTCAAAAATTGCACGCACTTTATCTGGTAGATATGCACGTTTTACTTTGAATTAAAAAATGATGCAGTGATCAAAAAATATTTGAATTTAAAAAACTCACTTCTCCTACTTGTTTCACTAACCAGATACTTTCACTAAAAATGTACAAACAAATATGTAAGAATTTTTACTTGCTAAATAAAGTACATTATATTATTGTTTTATTATTAAATTGAATTGAAAACATAATGTTTATAAAATGACATTGTAAATTGTTGAAGTGCAAAAACAATAACAGACACTTATTTTTCGATGTACTTTATCATGACTTGAACAACAAATAGACAAAATTGAAATTACTGTAAATTTTAGTGTATTTATTTGTAAACGTTTATTCATATTTATTGGCTATTATTGGTTAAATTTTTAATTAAATAGACTTACAGAAAAATAAACATCTGTTTCCCTACTAACATTATTCTTACATTGATATTTTTTTTACATCATTCGATCATGTTTCATTTGTAAATTAAAATTGATGCTTAAATCGATAACTGAATGTGATTTCTGTAAATATATCTGTTTTTTTTTTGACGTTTAAATTTCATTCTCTTAATTGTTCATTGAAACAGTAAAGTTTCTGTGTGAAAATCGTTCACTGATATAGTCAGTTTGGCAATGGTAACTTGCCTATTAGAGCATAAGACGTTGGATCAATGAGTCACAGATTCAAAGTTCACTTCACCTATTATGTTTTTGTCAGGTAGATAGTTTCATTAGCCTTCATAAATATTGTTTAGTTTAAGGCTGAGTACTGAGTAAAAATGACTGACTACCTGATGCCATGCCTATGAAATTCATGTTCATATAAATAGTTTTTAATTATCAAATGTAATATGACAATGAAATATAAGTATAGAAAGTTTATCGAGAGCTATTCACTGGTTCCTATTTCTTACATTTGTGTGCTTGGTTTGAAGCTCACGGGTTCGATTGTGAAAGAGGTCTTGACTGTTCACTAACGATGAGTTCCATACTAGCTCTCTCTCCTTATATCTTTAAATTAAAAAGTAAAATATCAGAATAAAACAGTTTTGTTTATCGTCTATTTAATAAAGTGATTTGTTTTTTCAACCATATCTGTAAGATCGTCCCATAAATGTAAGAAAAGGCTATCTTTATAATAGATATTTGTATGTTTGATCTTGGAATGAGTCCGAAAGACCTTGCACACTGAGTATTTCAAATTTAGGTTAGCAAAATGTCACCTAAAATGGTTTCGACCATTTCCTTTCCTAAAGTTAGAATAGTAGTTACCTTGTTTAGTTGAGGTTTCCATTTTATAACAATGCATTTCAATCTAACTACACAACAGATACATTTCAATGGTATTGTTTATTCTTTGTTCAATGACTAATACATCAGTATGTTTTATTTTATATTAGTTTATATAGAACAAACATCAATCTATATTACAGTTAATTCGTTTGATATTTCTTTACAGATAAAATCTCATTTTTAACATGTTTTATACTTTAAATTTTTTTTCACACAGAAATATACTAAATTGTATTCTTCAGGTGAATTTTACTTACCATTATATATTTTTTCATTGTACTTGAAGTTTAATGATGAATGGAAGTATTTGCAAAATTACTTTCACTTCACAGAAGTGAAATAAACTAATCTTTCATGGACCTAAGTAGTTATTGATTTTTATGTTGGTTAAGTAATATGATCTGTTAGGCGCTATCCTATAGAGTTTCCATTAATTAACAAAGAATTATTTTGAATAATCATGAAAAATGTTTATTTCACAGATGTAATATTTTACAATTTTTCGCTAACAATCTTGGTATTGAATACTATGAACTGCTAACATGTGCAATTAGTTTCAGCGTTCTTCCAGCTATTAATTCTAATTTTAAATTACTTCTTTTTTTGAAAAAAAAACAACAGGGTGATAGTACAATTAGATATTTTGAAATTACCGATGAAGAACCGTATGTACATTATATCAATATGCTTACTAGTTCTGATCCACAACGAGGAATGGGTTGGATGCCAAAACGAGGACTAGATGTAAATCAAAATGAAATTGCTAGATTTTATAAATTGCATGCGAAAGGTTTATGCGAAGTTATCCCGTTTACTGTACCTCGAAAATCAGAACTATTCCAAGATGATCTTTATCCAGATACAATTGGTGATACTCCTTCATTGACAGCTGAAGAATGGATGTCCGGTAAAGATGCAGATCCTGTTCTAGTGAGTTATTTATTACTTTTTTTTATTACTGTATACAATAATATTATCATCACACTGAAATCTGTTTTGTCTGATAGTGGTCCAAATCAAATTGTTATACTCCATTATATTGATGATCAATAACACTCTCCTATTGTACACTGTATATTAACTGCATTAAGTTTCATCAATCAACTGACATGTGGTCATTATGATAAAATTTGATTTTTTCTGCTCATGAGATCTTAACCAATTGGTGTTCCATTTGTTTTTATTTTGAGCGATGGAAATCACATATAAACCAAAATATAAGAAGTTGTTTAATCTCCATAACTGAATGGTACTGTAGAGTTCTTTAAAGCTCCAATTCTCAAAATTTTATCTGTACGATGATCTATATTTATGCTGTTGAATACTTTTAATTTATGCCTAGCAAATGTGTACTTAAAATTATTTAATGCCTTTACATATGATTTCATATTCATCTTCACAATGTGTTTGTGAATTAACCGTCACTCAAGTTTTAAATGTATAGAACTACTTATGAGATTAATGGTTACAAAAACTAAAAAAAAAACTAGTTAAACTCTGCAGTTCAACTTTACACTTAAAAACTACTTTTTAAGAAAGCATTATCCTTTTGAAATATTATAAAAACTAAGCTGATCTTCTACTGTTCAACAACTGTATACTATTGAAAAGTTATAAAATAACAATAGTAAACTGCCATTGAAAGCCTCGATTGTTTATGAATACAAACAATTTCATAAGTGGTATGACCTCATGGTTGACCTGAAATTTATTATCTTACAACAACGTCGTTTTCATTCGAGTTCGCAGTAATCTATTTATTTACTGGTGGGTGTAACAATTTGTTCCAAACTACCTGCATTATATTAGTTGGTACGGCAATCATAAAAATATTAATGTTAATAATAATAATAAATCTCATCACTTTTGATACACCTGATAAACGTTTTCCGTAGTGATGTTTACCAATGATAAACATTGTCTTTGTAAATTAGTACTATGAATTATCTTTCACCTCCTATTGATTTCCAATCGCTTATTTATTTTGTATCAATCTGTTGAATTGTCTACGTGTCAAATTTAATCAATAAACGTAAAATTAGAAAATGGCTTCTTATTTCCCACTTTTATTTTTCTCTTCACTGTTATTGCACATACAAACGCACATAGTCTAATTTTAATCAATTCAGTTCAATATCGTATTATCATTATTGTGGTTGTAGTGTTGTGAATTTCCCGCATAGCATATGTTTGTTCTATGCACAACTACATACACGCACATATGTATTTAATATTTGATTTGTTGATATAAAATACTTTTCGTATTTAGCTAAATATTGTAACAGTCGATTCCTAACCGTATGATTATAGTGATTATTTTTAAAGTTATGTAACCCCCTATGTAGTCTGGCTGTACGTCAACTACTGGATACTTGTCTATATATTTTCTGTATTCACGTGCTGCACCATAAATGGACTAACTTTTATGTACCATGAAGGCTAGAAATCAGCTGTTATTTGCATCCATTTTTATAGTACGTATATTTGCAATATATACATATATATATTTTGACTGTCAGTTACTTAGATTGAGAATATTGCAAATGTATTTTGTCCAAAATTTTTACATTTCTACCTCGAATTTTACCGGAACATAAACTATTCTTTTTAACCATTTCTCTATGTATGTGAACAAATGTTTATTTCGTAAATAATTTGCATACACTCCCTTATTCGTACATTCGGTTCTCGTGGTAATGCAATGTATGTCTTAAATTTTTTTGTTTAATCTAGGTATTTGTGTATGCATAAGTGTTGTGAAGACAAGTTTTCTGTTTATTGATCCTTCGCGTTTTATTATGATCATTATTACTGTAAATACAATAATTCAATACAATTGCATATGTCCGTTTAACAGTATTTTGCTTAATCACAGGCAGTGCTGTTCTAGTGATACTTACAACAAAGTATTTTATGACTAGTTAAAGGTTTCAATGTTGTCTAAATGCGAACTGTTTGGTAATGTGTATTACGTTGTTAATTCAAACTCCCTCTTGTTATTTCTATTAGTTAGCTCAGTTACTTTTCTACCTGTTGTCGTGGTACATTATGACATCGGATATATTTTAATATATCACTTTTTCTTGTCAAAATTCAACATTTATTATTTTTTTGTATTCCAATTTAACTTATTCTAAATTAGTGGGTCAGTTTTAAGTCCTTTGTTCTTCAGATTCCATAGTAATTTATTAGTTCCTGTATGTTATCTTAATGTTGATGGTTTAATGTATCTTTGTTTGAAGAGTCTGTAATAATAATAATAATAATAGGTATTATAATCCGTCCAGTGTTTGTCCGGTAACTATTTTGTCTGTCCAGCTATTTTGTGATAATGAGTATCATGTAAATGAATTTTTGTAGAATTTAGTATTTTTTAAAAAAAATAGCTTAAAATTCAATCATTCAATTCATGAAACTAATATAAGTGATACCGTTCAGACGGAAGTTTTATACATAACTTTTTCTTTGCTCTTATGTTTCGATTTTATCATTCTTTATTTTAAATCTGATTTTATAGATATCTCTCAAAGAGGGTTATGTTCCAAAGTCTAAACCGAAAAAACGTATTGGCAAGTTGATCACATCGACTCCAGCAGCTAGTAAAGAAGAACAAGATGTAAATGTAACAGTTCCACAAACTAAAGTAGCATCTCATCCAAATCGACAACCTAGTACAAAATTACCAAATACTGAAAATCATGCTAAAACAGATCATTTAGATGTACAGCGGCAACGATTAACCAAGAGTACTCCACCTAAGGATATTCCATCTTCCGAACCAATGGTATACTTCTTTGTTTATTGTTATGCATTTTATATGCATTTATATTATGGCTATCAACTTAACTCCGACTATCTCTTTTTATTTATACTTATGATATTTTAAAATTAAAATTCCGTTGAAAATTATGATTTAACGTTAATTACGAGTAAATTAAACTGTTAAAGATGTACTGCTGTATAATAATCTGCCAAGAAACAAATAATGATTATTCACCACGTACAATGCACATTAATTCAATCGTTTTTGATTATGATTCAATCTTTGGCGCTTCTTAACAATGTTAAAATGTCAATGAAATTATAGAAAATAACAATGATAACAGAATGACTGTAGACAGAAAAAATTGCAGTAGTAAACCGTTTATGGCTTATGAAAAATTAATAGATTTACGCTATTTTAATCGATCTTGAACTGAGTTACATTCAGCCTGTAGTCTAGTTTTCTGATATTTCAAAAACTTTAAAGAGAAAAAAAGTTATTCATTGCAAATCACAGTTCAAATTAGCCATTCGCGAGTTTATCAATTAGTATTTTATTTCACTTCAGTGTTATTCATATTTCATTAGTTATCAATGGAAGATGATGAACCCAATCTATATTCAAGTTGCGTTTCTACTGCCTCAATCATTGAATCCTGGCAAAGAATCACTCTTATTTATGACATTTTAATCAACATAATTGACCACTCAATTTTTTATATGACGAACTAATGACTCTTCTGTGCTGTTACGGGTATCTTGAGGGACCTGAAAATGAAGGTAGATTAGTGTTAGTCTTAGAGACCTGGATGCGTGACCGCAGAGCCAAACGGACAACTGCTTGAGGCCGGTCACGCACGGCCTTTTGATGAAAGGTTTTTTGAGTATTAGCTCCGCTCTTGAAAGCCCTTAGTGGGCACCCTTACCCAACGAGACGGAAATCCGTGAGGTAGGGTGAGGTGTGACATTTTTAGGGTCGACCTTTTCTAACACTTCCTTCCTTGTGAGAAGGTAGCATCGCTGCAGATGCTGGTTGTCCGAGGGAAACACCTTACTGCTGTCACACCCCTCTGCAGTCAGCAGTACGACTTCGCCGTCAGACCTTAAGTAGCTGATTTTAGTCTCATCGTTCTCCAATCGACCTGTCTGGCATGGTACAACCTACAGAAACATTTGTTCCAGCCAGTATAGCTCGGTTGGGTCATCACGATAGGAAAGCCCGACCACCACGTCAAAGTAGCAGCTACGGTCGGGAATGGCTCTTCTAGTCAACTTATATATTTCCTGATAGACTATCACGATTTTTAGTTAATCAGTATGTTTTGAGATCACTGATGTTATTCAACATTCTTGTATAAATTTTATTCTTTGCTATTTTTTAACTTCAGAATGGTGTTTCAACCGCTGCTTCTCATGTAAATTCAGCTGATATTCATCAACTCATGGAAGATATTCGTAAAATGAAAATTATTATTAAAGGCCATGAAAGACGTATACGAAACCTAGAGGAACGTTTAGAATTGACCGATAGTGGTGGAGATTGTGTATCTTCTATGTCTGTTAGCTCAATTAAATAACTGTAAACTTACATTATTCATCATTATTATCCGTCATGCGTTACCAGTAAGTTTACTAAAACACTGTGTAGATCATGTCATATTTTTCGGATGAAACTAAAAAAAAAAAATAAACTGACAATTAAATCTCATTATGATATGTTCATTGCATGTACTATTCTGTGAGCTTTGTTTTTTTTTTAATTAGTAATAAACATTTTAAGAATAGAAAACAAACTGTCTTCCACTCAGTGTGACTTAAATTACACTTTTGAACTTATTTCTCCATTCTTACTCTTTTCTTGTTTATCTGTGTGTATGTTTCAATCAACTGATAGTTGATTAACTTTTCAAATGAACAATATCATTTAGCATTTATTAACAAAACTTTATATATATATATATATATACTGTTTGCCTGCCTTCTTTTTTGTCTTTTCTCTAAAGCATAATGTGCGATTTTCACTGTTTAAAATTTCAAACCTATGCTGATTAGTTTAATTTCATGCAACCAGCTCATATAGGTAATTTTTTTTTGCATTATATCGTTACATGTTTTTACATTTCACTAAAAAATATTCTGCGACCGTTCGTATATATACATATAGATATGTATACATGAAAACTATGCTTGCATGTGAACTTATATACGTAGAAAAATTAATAAATTAATGAACAGTATCAAAGTGCCCATACAATTTTCTTTTCTTTTATTGCGCACATTATTCATGATTCGAATGTCTATTTCCATTTCTGTTTGATCGTTTCGGTACCATGTTTTCGGATAAATGATGAACTTATTTCTCTTAACATTTATTTATTTTGATTCATAGATTTTCAGTTTCTTTTATATAAGGATGTGTATATTGTGTTGGTTGGTCTTATCAATAAGGCATATTGTTCATACTGTTAATTCACTACCATTTTGATAACAACGATGACAATACTGAGAGAAAAAAAAGTGTCTGTATGTGTGTGTGGATTAATTCTGTTGTAGTTAAGGCTTGTAATCATTATCTTCAATGTTATTTGCATGAAATCTTTCTAAACTATCTATCTGGCTTTCTTATTGTTTCCTAATAGTTTAAATGTTTATATTTCCTACATGACTAAATTGTCTTAGACTATTCTTTGTAGATCTATCAAATAAAAATATATTTCTGTAATTGTTAACAAACTTTACAGCTTTCTTTACCTCAATTTTTTTTTTGTCTTACTATTATTATATACGTGAATATATGTGTCCCTTCTGACTTAACTTTTTAATCAATGTCTGTTGGAAATTTTTTCTTTTTCTGGAGAAAACGGTTTATCAAATGCAATTTTAATGATATGGAATTCAGAAATATTCTCATTGTATTTCATGCTTTTAATTAATGTTATTTATTAGTAATGTTGGCATTGTCGTTCATACTGTAACTGTTGTTATTCCATTGTTTTCAAGGTGGAGAACAATAACATGTATACTCTTTATCATTTGTAAGGGTTAGGGGTTTTAAGTAGTAATCGTCTTTGATTAAACAGCTCTACATTATTCCTATAAATCAAAACTAGTATATTTTTCCATCTAGAGAATAATAGTCACTAATCCAGTACATTTGCGATGACATGAATTCTCCATGAAAATAATAAATCTAGAAAAAATTAAATAATTTTCTTAACCCTAAAATAAATATTCATGCAGTATTTGGTTTTGTAAGTGAATACTTTGCAGTAATTAAAACACCCACTTTGTACCCACTAGTTAACAACTGAAATGAATTTTAAATAAAGAATTCTGTCGACAACAGCTCTGTAGGTAAAATCTTAAAAACTTTGACCTATCGCAGATATCACTAGTTTTTCTTGTAGCTAATTGCTGTAAAGTAAAAGACAGTTGATGGGATTATCAGAAAGAAAACGAAATTCATTGGTAGTTTTGACAAAGAAAAACTACAAGAATTAATCATGTGAATTAGAGTATTTCGAATGTATTTATGGAGATATTAAAATACTTTCTTATTAACGTGAATAAGAAATAAATTCCTTTTCAACAGGATACTAAATCGATCATAAAAATGTGAAATCTTCAATTGCAAATCAATCTAGTTAGTCATTGGTAAAGAATATGAATTAAATATTCGTAACATCATGTCCTATCTACACACAACATAATTGAAAAAGTAAACATAGTTCAAAAACGAAATGAAATTGAAATTGTATATTTGCTGTAAACTGAATTCATTGTATAAGTTCCTCATGAAACCCATCTTTCGAGTATGGTATCTGAACTAGTAAGTAACCTTACAACATGGTATAAAGCAAGACAAAATGTTTGTCAATTGTAAATGTATACCATTGAAAATATAATTTTAACTAAAGTTCGTACTCTGTTTACGTTAATCTGAACGATGGAATATAGAGCATTATGAGAACAATGGAAAAGTACTTTGTAGCCACTAGACACCCCGGTGCGGAGAAGAGTGAGGAGAGTTCGCCCACACATGTATCCACTGACAGTGAAGTTCCACTCACTATCTTCTCATGACAATGATGTTGTTGACGAAATTGAGAGGACGAAACGCGAACGTCGAACACAAACGAGGTTGGTGGGTACGGAGTATCCACTCAGGAGAGCTGGGAAGTCTTGATCCTAAACCAGTAGTGCACTGTAGTCAATGACTGGTCGAAATGTGAATGCTACAACCGAATACAACTTCTGAACAAACGTTTTTGGAATCACGTTTGTCGGTCAAACTGGCCTTCGTCAATGTTCGCATACTAATGCAGGTCGAACAGATTTGAGGCGTTAACATTGACGTCTGTTTGAGACCCATATTAAGGATTCTAGTGACGTACTATACATTCTATATCCATCTACTCTTCGGATAGCTTGTTTTATATGCTGTTATCCAGGAACTCTGTATCATCTTGGTATAACTTCGCTGGATTTGGTTTTGTACTAAGGCGATGGCGTGTTAGTCAATTTGATCCCCATTCACAGTCGTTTGAATGCTATCAGATTAAAAAGCTCCATTAAAGTGAGAAGGCAGTGTGAAAAACGATGAATTTTCGTTTTATTCGGTTATTCCTCGACAAACCGCAGCCCGGATGCAATCAAGAATGAGTTCTCCCACCAGTTGAGTGATCCTTTCCCGAAAGTTTTGTCGGTCAAACTATCCTGTACTTCACCACCAGTGACGACTGGACGAAGAGGAGGTCAACGCTAATACTTGTATTATCTCTACCACCATTGGATTTGAACTGACATTTGTGTCTCTGTGGTAATGTTGTATGGCAACCTGAACTGATGCGCGCACGTACGAAGTTTTACGTTGTAACTGACTGATTGATGGAAATCTTTTGTTTGGAGGTCAGATAACTGTGACCGTCTTTTACAAATCTGCATGGACTATATCCTGTTTCTGGCTAGCTCAAAGTATTCGCAGTCATCAGCGGTGTGCTAGGTAGCGTCTTCCCTCGGTATCGGGAGCACGGATTGATTACTTAGATTAGACAACATGAATGAAAACTCAGTATACGGCGCATACCACTAAATAATAGCCCAAACATGGGAGGAGAAATTCATCGAATATTAGGGTTGATGATGCAATACATCTGATAAACTGCGCGTTATATTTTATTGGTATGGGAAATAAACCATCAAAGATCTACTATGCTGATACACAAGTAATATAGCAAAATATGGAGAAATCTTAATTACTGAAACTGTGATCATTCAGTTTGAGCTGTGTTACTAATAATTCTTTCATAATATAATTTTGCATGGTTTCGAATCTTCCAATCTAGATAATGTGATTTTTCTGATCAATTTAAGGTTGCTATATATTTTATTTCAGAAAACGACTACACGTTATACTGTAACGAGATCAGGTGGGATAGATAAACACTGGTAATATAGAGGAGGAAGTATGATAGAGAAATGATGATATGGCCTAATATCGTCTTTCATATTAGAAATGAATTAACGGAAGGTAGTTTGAAAGTCAAAACGAATTATTTTGGAAGACCGTTATGTCCAGATAACGATCAAAGTAAATAGTGACCTAAGAACCTAGTTTGTGGGTTATTGTCGTATGTAGTCTAATTGTATAACTACTGAGTAACTAGATTATTATCTATGTATCCTACCTGTATCCTGAGCCCTTGAATAATTCATTAACCATAGTTATATGATCTATTATTCTTAATCTGTTGCTGGTTTAATATTCGCAGTATCCTACTCATAGTCACTTTTGGGTCACTCGTGTTAATTTACATTTATTGGCGTGATGTGGTTTGTTTTTGTATGTATATAGACGAATATTTGAAATATTGTAACGATAATCTTGAACTGGTGGTAACTGGTTTTGTTCTTCGTTTGGAACAAGTCATTATCGGGCTGTCGTGCGAGTAGTCGAATATTCTGTCCTTATTATAAGTTGGTCACACAAAAGTCATCTGCGGATTGGTTCGTGTAAATAACACAACAAAAACAGTGAGTCTTCAAATTTTGATGGCCGATATAATCCCAAACCTAAGAACATGTTCCAGATATTTTCTATAAACAGATTTCATGGTCTGTCCTCTTGTGGTGCGCGCTACTTATAATTAGTATATGACGCGAGTGTAAACGTAATGTCTGGCAGCAGAAGATGGGGGAAGATCAAGGAAGGAAGAATGGGAACACAGTGGAATTTGTATGAAACGCATGAATAGTGAAATGTCAGACAATGGATTAAAGATTTGTAAATTAACGGTTACGATATGGTTTTCCTATTTTACTGAGTAACTCTGTAATTTTCGTTGAATACAATTTGGTTGCCCTCACCTATGTTCTCCTTCACTGCACTCTAATCAATTTAAATCAAATGTTCAGCTGTCGATTATAGGATTTTAACTCTTCGGTCTGTGCAGGAGTGAGATTCCAATGGATTCCGAATACATTCAGGCACATGTTTGGCCACCATATATAAACCTAAATATACACCACTCCCAAACATTCTAAATGCTGTAACTTGGTCAGTGAAAGTATTCTAAAGCATAAGAATTATCTTGAGATCAATAAATTTGCTTCACCATATACCGATTCAGTAGGATGTTTAGATAAAAATACTGATACAAACGCAGGAACGAATTTAGTCTACCGAAAGTATTGAAAAAGCTGCTGGCACTTACAAACCACCACCACGAGGAATCAAATAAAAGCCTTCAGATATCAGGTTTCCCATTATGTGTCAATTCATGACGCAAAATGGTTTCCAGCCGAACAGATTTTCACACGACTCAATAACGATCGTTCCCATTCCAGTCATTGGTTTTGAAATGGATTCCTCAATCTTCATTGAGGTGCAATTGGTGACTCCATGTAGAGATTACACAATAGTTTTAATTGAGTGAATTTTGTGTTATGGGACATTGAATGTTAACTCAATGGTTTGATCAAGATCCTATGCTCACTGTAAAGTGTACGGGGTAAATACTGATGATTTAAAAGTAAGAACAAAGTAACATTTCAATGTTCTGCAGTTTTTGACAGCCGTTCAACACATTTTACTTTATTAGAGGATACTGGCTTCAAGTTGTGCAATCTACATGAATTAATTTTAACTAAGCCGCTTGTATTAAAATTTTGTGTAAGATCGATATTTGTAAGTACAGTTATTACTTAAGTTACTACTTGAGTAATTTCTACAGTTGATGCTTTCTAAACGTTTAACCTTTTCTGGTGTTATGATATGCAAATTGAAAAAGTTATTTTTTTGCAATAGGATATGTTCAACACGATTAGTTATATGTTATCATAAAAATATTTCCATAATACGGCAAAATTAACATCCCATTATTGAGACACATGTTCGCAGTGTTAGACTTTCAGTGCCTCAAATATTAGTCTTGTATATTTTTCTTGACTTAATATTATTAATTCAAAGGTTGTTTACATGTGAAGTGCAGAATATTATCACAAAATATATGTTTAAAATAATCTTTTCATTTGGCTGCAGAGCATCGTGGTATTTTTTATTCCTTTCATTCTTTGTGTTCTCTCAAGTCCTAACCCTCAGAGTTCCTCATCACCTTTATCTTTTTGAGTTTATTTCACTAGATTCTACTTCTTGAATAATGTCTTCGAACCCTAATCCCTTCAATTATTGCTAATATTTTTACTACCTCAACTACTATGAGATTTGTATCGACAATTACATCTCTGTGCTAATGTGGTATGGCAACTTGAACTGATGTACGTACGTACGAAGTTCTACGTTGCTGTCGATGATGATTTACTCCTCCTAAATTCGCTGTATTTCTCATCAATTTAAACACAATACAATGACTTCAGAGAATAACCCTTAATTCAAAAATAAAAAACAGATAATGAAAGCAGACTAAGCGAATTTACCAAAACACCTAAAGTTTGCAGTACAATAAGAACTAAATAAATAAAGGATGGTTTCTGTGCATGAGGTTTGTGGAGATTGTTGAGTTCTATTAAGGTTGCGAACTAACATAAACTAGGAAATCATTGGAAACCAAGAAGTATTGGATGTGCGTTTCGCCCTGGTATGAGAATTGTAGGGTTCAATTCGTCCTACAGATGTACTAATAGAACCCTAAACGCGATACTGGCGAGCACAGAGTCTATGTGAAAGCTATAGTCAGAACAAGGACAAGAGTCACATTAATATAATAGGATTATAATGTCTTTCAGTTGGTAGGTCACATGCAACAGAGACGGTTTACAGACACATCAGACCAGATCATGTGATAAGCGCTAGAACCACGATTCGATTGCTTTGCTATGGACATGACTAACAATAATCTTCAGAAGCGAGAATCCATGACCCCATCGGGAACTAAACCAAGAACACTTGGGCTTCCGCGGAGTTCAAGCGCACTGGGTAAAGCAGATTTTTTCTCAACATTGCGAACTCATTTAAAGTAAATTTGTAAATACCTGGATGCTAGTCCAGTTTTTTAAAGGTCAAAAGCTCGTTATGAGGACTCTGGATTTGATCGAGATTGGGTGCGTACTCCTGAGAAGTTCCATACAGGAACGGAACTGCTGTACAGTTCTTTTTGTTTCCTATGGTTGACTAACTTAGGTGATCCAAATCAGAATGCATTTTCATCCACATCAAAAATAGTTCAAATAACATGCTTAGGATTAAATTGTTTCGAGAAATAAAAACAATGGGCAAATAACATGTATTATGTTATGTTTTTTGCAGTCATTGAAAAATATTCACATCTAGTAGCACTGATTTCATTAAGTTTAAAGTTTAGTAAGAACAAAAATGGTGTAAAAATAGCTATTTCAAATAAATAAATGAAAAAGGAATATCAAAATTGTTACAAAATACTATTAGATATTAGTTTGAAGATCGTCTAACATATTTAGTTGTAACGAATGGCATTTTCGTTATTGTATATGGATAGAATTTTTGACGTATCTGTACAAAAAGTAGTCGATCATTTTCACAATATTCAGTGTTCACATAAGCCATAGCAATATTCTTATTTAATGTAGGCGAAAAACAACCACTTGTGACGGCACCAATTTCCAATTGCATAGATTGATCAAATATTTTTGCACCATCTGTATTAGAAACAGAGAACAAGTAAATTACAATGATGGAAATTTATCAACATTATTTAATTGATACAACATATTTTGTGTAAGAGTTATTGATAATTTAACAAGGTATGTAAATGGAAAGTGATGGATTGTTGAAAAACCACTTTTGTTGAATTTGAATCCAAATTTAATGTTCGCTTTGTAAAATAGTGAGTTTGATCACTATTAAAGATTAGAAAGCTTAATATTTAATGATTGATACTTAGTGATCAATTAATGAATATCTCTCTCAAAAACCCTTAACATGTTGGGATTACTTGAATAAGTTTCTATGTAAAACGAGGTTGTGAGATTAATGGTTTAAATAAATATAGTCAACATTGGGATTAAAGAGATAATGATATAATTACATATCAGGAATCACGCAATATGTAGACTAACATGAATGAGATACGAGTTAATGAATGGGGGAGGATATTGAATACATTTCACAAAAATTTGAAAGCGTAATGATAATAATGAGAAGATTTATGAATAAGTTTTAGCTACAGAAATACAGAGAGCGTGGCTGTATGAACAGTATTCAGATTATTATAATCAAAATGATTGTGAACTAAATTAAGCCAGAAGTTGGTCAAGGTAAAAAAGGAAGTGGTTGAACATATTTCTTCTCGACAAAAAGTTCCATCTTTCTGATCTGAATACCTAATGTTTCAGCCGTGTGAAGATTAGCAGTCTGACGGATTCATGCAGACTTCTATCAACACGTTATATTATCGAAAATCCATATTAGTTTTATGGCTCGTATGTACAAAGTGAGCTATAATCGAGCTGTCAACAAATTTAAATATACCTTTGCTTAACCACATTGGGACGTGCTCGCCTGTAAATTTTTGTGAAATGTATTCAATATCCTCCCCCATTCATTAACTCGTATCTCATTCATGTTAGTCTACATATTGCGTGATTCCTGATATGTAATTATATCATTATCTCTTTAATCCCAATGTTGACTATATTTATTTAAACCATTAATCTCACAACTTCGTTTTACATAGAAACTTATTCAAGTGATCCCAACATTAACGGTTTATATCACAAACAGTCCTAAATTTACTTGCTATAATTTCAGGTATATTTTTCCTTGAACCTGACCACTATTCAGGTTATTAATTTGGATATACAGTTGTAGAAACTGAAGAGAATTTATTTAAAAGAATATTCTTCGTTCATATATCTGTGTCGTAACGTATATTTACTACATGTCATAATAAGACTGTTGAAACTTACTTGCTTCTGAAACCATTTTGGTAAATTTCTATCACTCTCAACTATAAATGTCGATTGATTCTTTTGATGTACACTTGTCTTTAAACATTTATAAAGTGATAAATGCTCGCAGTTTGATTGTTTACATGTTTTTACATATTGAAATCATCAATCAATCATTGTTAGAACACCATTTTAGTTATGTCCATTACAAAACAATCAAATCGTGTTCACCATGTGATCTGGTCTGATGTGTCTGTAAACCACCTCTGTTGCATGTGACCTACCATCTGAAAGACATTATAATCCTATTATATTGATGTGAATCATAATTTTATTCATTTCCATAAGACACGCTATATTGGTCGGTATGTTTGCTCGATTCACTTGATAACTGTAATAATCTAATTGTTTTTTCGTTTAGGAACAGATAAAGTTTAAAGCTAAATTGTCCTTGTTCCGGCTATAGCTTTCCCACAGATTCTGTATTCGCCAATATTGCGTTCATAGTTACAGCAGTACATCTGTAGGACGAATTAAATCCTACACACCATTAGAAACCTAGAAGCACTGGACGGCCGTTTCGTCCTGGTATGGGACTCACCAGCAGTGCGCATCCACAACTCCTGTAAGATAAAGAAAGGTGAGAAATATTTAGGGTCGACCTTTTCTAACCCTTCTTTGTGAGAAGACAGCATCGCTGCAGATGCTGGTTGTTCGAGGGAAACAGCTTACTGCTGTCACACACCTCTGCAGTCAGCAGTACGACTTCGCCCTCAGACCTTGAGTCTCATCGTTCTGCAATCGACTTGCCTGGCATGGCAGAACCTTCAGGAACATATGTTCCAGCCAATATAGCTCGGTCAGGACTTTTACAGATATACGATGACTTTCTATTATAAAGTCCTATCTGTGGCTGATTTGATTCATGACCAATATAAAGTTATTTAATTTAGACGATACATGTAAAGTATGCAATGGACAACGATGTCGCATGACTCTCTCACTAACTTATAAATTTTGGTGCACATTCATAATGTACTAGTATTTTATTTGACAGCCTAATTGCTGCATATAAATGGTCAAAAACAACATAAGTCTATCATATATCTAGAAATTTATTTTCGGGTAGCAGTTTTGAAGCTAGAAAACACTTAGTTCCACAATTCAATGCGTTACTACTACAATTCGTAAGATCTGGCTTACTTAGAGGAACTATTTGATTAAAATAGTTTACACGAGAGATAACTATTTTTCATAGTTTGGTACCGGAAACTAGAGTATCTTACAATTCATTCTGCATGGAATGGATAAGAACGAATATTTCAAGAGTAGGATGAAATGACCGTATATCGTAATTATCTATGGTCATATCTCTTCACCTACAGGACAACGAAACTTTCTTTTTACTCTACGATACTCGAAAATAAATAACACACATGATCAACAAACCCATCATATTTTCGCGGTCAGAACAGATCTTACACATGTGGATATACCCATTGTATGTGGAAGCGGACACAAAAATTTAACATATCTTTCGATCAACGCGATACACATAATTCATTACAGCATATGGTCAATAACCTCACCTATAACAAGTAAGATTATTTTCTGGTGTTTTTGATAATCGAAGTTAGTTAATTAAAATTTAACAATAATAACCATTTTGTATAATATGAAAGATTTATAAGTTGATGTGAATCTTATCAATTCCAGTACAATCAAGGAAAAGTGTGATTTCTTTTCTGCGTGCCTTTCAAGTTCGATATACAGACATTAGATATAGATAAAATAAAAGAGGATCTATTGTCTTCTAGATAAATTTGCTGCCTTATTAACTACAATTGGGATATAACATACTGGACACGGATATAATGTACTGATCCTCATAGCAAACAATTGGAAAACATGTTCTATGTGAAGGAACAGTAACTTAGTGATTATATCGTTTGTGTCAAAAGTTCAAACCCAACTCTACATGTTTCGATTTAGGTATCGGGTAAGTTCCACTGACCCTTACGCAAGTATGACTTTCCGCTCCGAATATGTTTGGTTACATGGTTACATTGATGATATAATGGGGCGAATACTGCAGAAGCATAATTTCCGATTGTAATAAGAAGAATAATTATTCGTATTTCTATCATATAATTAGCAGATACTGGACTGTTGCATTTTTATATTCTCTCACTCCTAAGGTTCTATTTGATCCATAAATCTATATTTATCAGTAACTGTTCCCTTACTACACTGGTTTTATATCATTCAAGAATAAGTTGTATAGACAGCATAAAATGTCTGACCACATTGCAACACAATTAGGAGGTTAAGTATATTATTTATGAGTTCTGAGTCATAGAACTGATCATACTAGAGATATAATCTGTTTTCCACCTTCGTCTTGTGAGTGACTATTGAGTTAGGATACTGAGAATTGATAATCGTTAGCATCTTGGTTATTGGCTAATGTGTCAGTTGGTAAGAAAGGTCACAAGTTCTACTGGTAATATAGGTGAACTAAAGATAGAGAGATATCATAACAACTACTTCCTTGTCATTACGACCAAATCATAAAGAACTCGATACAGCCCCAGCAACCAAACAACCGGTTTCTTTTCTCCCAACATAACAGCTAATTGAGTAGTTGAGCTATGTATGGGTCAACTTTATAGTTTAAGTGTTTCGCTCATAGTGAGATTTCGATTAATGATTACACTTTTAAATGCGAGTTTTGTACAACTTGATAAACTAAAGATCCAGTTTCTTGAGATTCATAAATAGTATGTCATGTAAAATAGATAATATGTCAAGCAATTTATTATTCCCTGTTTAGTAAATGGTTATTTTAATGGATTTAAATAAAAAAATTCCGAAGAGTTTTTGTATAATGAATTGAACTAGTTCAGTGTGAATAGACAAAACCATAATTTACCTTAGTTGTTGACAATTAATGAATATAGTAGGACACATAGCTATTGACTTTTATAATTGTTATCAATAATAAATACTGAATATTTTAACTTGATTTAATGTGTAATTTTCTATCTGGAGAAAAAATGTAGGATGATTAAAAATTCATGGAAATAGCATTTACTAAAAGACAATATCAGATCAGTATTTTCATTCGTTTCATTCTAAAACTCTTACATTCTAAAACTCAATACAATCAAGTTGCCTTCAAAATGTTTGACGAAAATCACTATATCTTACTGATTCTTATGAACTATACACATAAAGTTAAATTTATTTTTTCAAACTTACTTCTTGCTGGTGGACCTGATTCACAAACCAAACCGATCCGCTTATGTTTTATTGCACTTCTATTTTTCAGCTGACCAGTTATAACTGAATAACCAGGAAATTTGGGATCTTTACCCAAACGCCTTTGTTTTGCTGAAATAAATTTTTGGAAAATTCATTGACTATTTTGATGATATATTTGGTAAAACTAACTGTTATCATATAATGCATAGTTAACGACGTTTGAGTAGCTAGATAGTATTTTTATACTCCGATTCCTAACTAAATATCATGTTTATAAACAAGGAGGTTACAGTTTATGTCGGTTCGAAATGAAAACCCTAACCCTGATTTGTAATCCCATTACCTCATCCAAACCTTCGTGCAGATTGTCAGTTGGTAATGAAAACCCTTAACTCACAATGCACGAACTTAAACTTTTCTCTTTACCGTGAACATTTTACATGTGAAGGTAAATTAGTCCAGAGTGATTTTACTGCAGTGCATTAGTAATTGTTTTATAAGTAGGCAGTGCTTCCTGATTGGCTGGCAAGTGGTTTAAAGTCGTTGATATGGCAAATCTTATTCATATGTTTTACTGAAACTGAATTCTACCACTTTTAGCAGAAACGTACTGGGATAAATAAAAATGTGATTGACCCAGGATATTTCCTCCCTATTTAAGATATTTTTAATTTTTTAGTACTAAACAGCAAATAGTGACACATATTGAGGGAATCATCCAACTGCGCCCTGACTTGGAACCCTCAAGGTCGAAGGAAAAGAGGAACTTCAAAGAATACACTATGCTGAGAACAGGAGACAGACATGAGAAGAATGAACACCAATTGGATAAAACTGGAAAAGAAGGCCCGGGACAGAATAGATTGGAGAATTCTGGTCGGTGGTCTATGCTACACTGGAGGTGATAGGCGTAATTAAAAAAAAACAGAAAATATATTGGATAGAACTGTTACTCCGGGTGTTGTTACTCATAATCTGTTGCTCGCAAATATGTGCAAAAAATCCAAACCGTAATTTTTTCAACGATAATCACATTTTAATGTGGTCAAAGTAAAGAAATAATAATTTTAAATAGCTTTTGAGCCTTCTCATTACATGATTATGGAATTTTTCGTTAACGATATGGAAGATTGGAATTACTCCATACTAATGTTTTATTAAGTTAATTTAGTTGGTATAATGTATTAACAATGTGGTCTGGAAACTAATTGAATACATACTTCATACTCATTGCAAACAATAACTGCAATTATCCAATAGATTCACCGAAGAAGATTCTCCTCCTACAAAATGTGGATCTTGTTTTTAAACCCTGACTAACGTTGAAATAGACAAGTAATTAATGAAAGTAACCCAGTTACCTAGTACAAGTCTGCATACATGTTTTAAGCAATACTGTTTAAATAAAGGTTATTAATACTATCCGGCTGCCTAATTTGACTTGGATTCGAAAGACTGTTCGGATATGCGCAGGATTTGCCCCTATAAAACAACTAAGCCCCCTATTGAAGTTATCGACATACATACATCGTATGGTTAGCAAATAAAGTGAAATTTTCATAATCGCAAACCTATGATACATGAATTTCAACATACAGAATTACATATATGAGATATCAAGGATTTCAAACTTACATATAAGCCATGATAAAGAAGCTTCAATTGGAGTTGTTTCTTCCGATATGTCATTTCCATATAGACACAAACCAGCTTCTAATCTTAAGGTATCACGAGCAGCTAATCCAACGGGTTTTACAGAAGAATTCTTGACCAGAATCTCAGCAATCGGGATAGCTATTTCTGAAGGGATACTGATTTCGTAACCATCTTCACCTGTATATCCGCAACGTGTTAAACGAATATCACCATGAGGCGTATTCATACCGTAGAATGAATCAATGAGCATGCTTTCCATAAAATAAAGGTTTTCAAAGCTTTGCATATCAGCAGATGAGATACCTGAACGGAGAACTGAATATGCATCTGGTCCTGTGAAAGATTAAATTTAAGGAAAAACAACTGGTTAAACTTATGATGGTATATACTTTATAAGATTCACTTTAATACCCTAACCAACATTCATGATCCATCTATTAGTACAACTTCAAATAATCTAAGGAATTTCTCTTCATTAAAATAAAAATGCACTTATTTAGTTTCACTTATTTAAACTTTCAACAACAACTACAGCAAGTAGCAATTTATTTAACACATTAAATAGATTCTGTACAGCTATCATGTTCCGAAGTGTATTGACACTGAAAAAATGTTCAGTTAGATTTCAAGTTATATATAACCATAATGAATTTACATCTTCGCCGTTAATGTAACCAGTAAACCAACTGCTAATATTTGTGTAAAATAGAAAAATACAGTACATAATGAGCCGAAAAAATTTTTAAACGTTTTTAATACTTTTAGATATGGGACCGGAAAGCTGACACTGGTTATTCCATTGAATGAAATTCATGTAACTTTTTTAAAAAAGGCTAAAAGCATCGTAGATATCCGACGAAAATATTTGGATTTACATTATATTACAAATTCTGGCAAGTTTGCTGAAGAATGCAAGAAAGTAATATGAGTGTAAGTATTCTGTCAAACAGGTCTCCAATAGACAAGAAATGTTTATTTTTGCCTACCAAGTAAACATTCATCAAAAATCTTGTTCTGTTAAGCGAAACTGAGGTCATAATGTGCAACGCTTAGATTCTAATTGGTAACCTACAAAAAACTAAAAGCGAAAAAAGCGAAGCATTCTCATGATAACTCAGTTCTAGTCATGTTCCCTCACTCCTGCGTTCATTTGCTGTAATGTTCCACCCATATATCTAGCATTACGTTCTCTAAATTTCATATCATACGTTCCTTGAAGCACATTCCTGAATCTGCAGAAGACCTGAAGAAACTAGAAACTAAGTCAGCAAAAGCATGTTACTCAATAAATGATGTTGATAAATATTCTTGTGCTCTTTTAGAACAGATTACTTCCTCAGGACATAGAAGTATTACACATAAGGTTTGTGGATCAAAAACAATTATAAATATGATATAAATACAACGGGAAACAATTGAATTTTTCGAGTTATTAAAATGGTTATTTTGTCTACGTTTTAATCTTGGGCAAAAGTGACCCTCTGGTTCGTACTTACAATCTGGTGTCCGAAAATCAGACCTAACAGTTAGGTTTGAAGTGATTGTAAAGTAAGTTATCTACAAACTGATTTCTTTCAGTCGTCCATGATAGTTTATTTTGTGTCGATACTTTGCACGTGATCATATTATTTAATTATATAAAAAGGAACCTATTCGTTTGGCTTATCTTGTCTTTGATTTCAAATCGTTTAATGGCTTACGTCAATCACTTGCCCTTATGAGCAACCACCAATCAGTCAGTTGCAACGTAGAACTTCGTACGTATGTACATCAGTTCACGTTGCCAAGGTCTCTAACCACTGGTGTAAAAATGTACGTACATTCAACCCTAATTTATGTGTTCAGAAGAAATTCGTGACACCCCTATCTCTTCCGTGGCCGGATATGACGTAACTAATGATTGACATATTTTATTTTTATTATTTTTGATTTATTATTTTATTTCATTTTTACACATTTGCTTATTACGTAATGTTTTTGACGTTTTTGATGATTATTTGAATTCTATTCACCCACCCTTGACCTACTTTAGTTATCATATTTTACAAATTTTCTTACTACTATCAGTACACCTGTTTTTACACATTTGAAATCATTAATCAATCATCATTGTTAGACCACCTGTTTTCCTATTATCCACTTGAACTTTTGCCTATTAGATGTAGTTACGTAATCTTTTTCATTTCATTGTGATTATCACTCAAATTGCCTTGATTGGTTTAACATTTTCATATAAATATTCATGTATATTAGAGTAAAGCCTGATGACGATCTAATCGAAAACAATATTGTTCGCTTATATGTGTTGTTCTAATTTTCACAATGGGAATCTTTAAAATTCTTAAATCATGTGGGGATCCTGCTGCATTTAAGGCACTCAATGAGTTCCTGAAGTTTAATGCACGTCTCACAGAAGCGAAGACGAGCTTAGGATTTACGATCAATTGTATTCAGTCAAACAGATATCCTAAATTATATTGGAAGTCATTACGTCGAAACAGAGTCTATCCGAATGCTAAAACACTTGAAAGGCATGCGTCCAATGAAATAGATACTTTATAAGAAAGTAGCCAAAGAGAACCATTGTCATCACTGTTTGTCGTACCAACTGATGAGTTTGTACAGCTCATCCTGAGATTAAATAAAGATATTTCGCTTCATCATTCCACATAGCTAGAGGTAGAAGAGAAGTGTTGAAAGATCTTATAGACATTAGTAAACTGAATGGTGCAATTTACATACATTTTAGTAAATTGACAATGCCTTCCAAACAGATGTTTTGTAAATTTAAAACTTAAAAAATGAAACTTTGCTATAAAACAGGTAATTTTTACTGTCCTGAAACGATATGATTATAAGAATAGTTGTTTTATATTTGAAAATACCCAGTACCTGCACCTTGGCTGTTTCCTATTTACTACTAATTTTGGTACTCAAAACTATACGGATTTACTATGATAAAGAACAATGAATAACAGTGCATCAATCAACACAAATAAGTATCATTCCAAGTTACTCGAATCTATGTCCCGATGAGAAAAAATTAACAGCAAAACAGGAGTAGAAACCAAGAGCAATAGAAAAGAATGATAATTTGAAAGCGAGTAAAATCAAACTATCAGTGACAAATTCGGTAATTACAATAGCTGTTAACATTAAAAAACTACTTAATAACATACAATCGTCTACGCCCAATACGCAAAAACATTTAAAAAGAATCATTAGGATGATTTATGATTCCTAGTGACAGCTGAACTGTTTAAACTGCAGTGAACAGAATCTAAAATCCGGATGGTACTTAAACGCCTCATGGTTTTATGAACATCGATTATGTTTATTAGGTTTATCTTCAGAAATGTTTAGTACTTGACTTATCATTTATTTAGGAATTTGAATAGTAAAAATAAGCTACTCAAACCGTTTAAATTTATGTCGGCAAAGAATATGAGCAGTGCATTACTAAGGCTTTTTCCTCCTTTAGGAGGCATAAAAAAGGATCAGCTAGGAACGTACAGTTTTGAATGAAAACAGTGACCCATATTTTATTCGCTTCTATTATATTACGTAAAGTAAAGGGGACAAACCAATTATTCATTACGAGACTTAGCTATTAGACCTCATGACAAAATGGCCCCAGGAATACATACCTTATCAAATAGTTAATCAAGGATTTCCTAATGAAGGAGAATACATCAAAATGTCGCCAGTTTTGCTTAGAACGGGGTTATAATAAGATATTTCTCTTAAATGTCCCACAAGAGACGAAAGGTCTATGGATTAACTACTTCGTGGTTGCCAAATAACCTACGTTAAATTTAAAAATATACTTTTTGTCTTTACTTTAATATTGTTCCTTAATTGGGCTATCATAATACAAATGAACAATGAATTAGTTTTAAGGTTTTTTGATTTCGGCAGTCACTATTTGACAAAACCTTGGTATTTAGGCTTGAAGAACTAAATTAAATTTGTTCCACACATTAATTTTAAGTCAGAACAGAATATTCCTCATATGAATCAAGTAAGTCCCTACAAATGAGATTTCACAGGACTGATGCTGACTAAACATATGAGTTACCTTGAAGAGCTAAAAGAGCATGATTGAGAACTCTAAAGTTAACTTCTTTACCATCTTTCAAGTCTTCGGTCATCATTTTCTAGAAATAAACAGATCACTTTCATTATTCGATTACTGTAACATGAGCTTTAATCTTTGATGAGCATGATGCATTTGAAACGATGTACAGATATTCTTTGCAATTCATTATGATAGTATCATCCAATATTCCACCACTATTTGACAAAAATAAAGAAAGAGTGCCAGTTGAAATACACAATCCGCTTATATCAGCACAAGTGAGGGACTCTAAGAAGTTAACTCGATGATCTCCAAAAACTTGCATCTGATGTAAGTAAATTTGAGTTAATTAACTTGCTTGTAACATATGAGAAACATCAAAAAGACCGCAATGTTGACGCACAAAATGATGACTATCAATGATACTCTGGCCTGAGTAGTGTAAAGGCATCAAAAAACCACAGAAATCAATCATTTTAGCTTTTTGTGACATGTGAAAGTCATAAAGCGGCGTCCGTTTAGTGGCCTCATTGCTAAGTGTTCTGAAGGATTTTAGGTACAAAGATCTTGAAATCCGGTGTACAAGTTGCATTTCAAAAACTTGCCAATGTTTTCCAAGGCTGAACACACCAAATGTCCATTTAATGAGTCTGTTTAAGATAATACCGAAATTGATGCAAATTTACTATTGTTAGATAATGGTTCGTTATTTATGACAGCATCTACTGCACAAACTGTAGCGGTCAATGAATCCTCAAAGTGAGTGGAGACGTGGACTCATAAATTATTAATTATCTCATTAATATCAGTAGACACAGTAACTTAAGATATTCGTCACCATCCGAACCGGATCACGATTGAGTACGCCATGCTACGTAGTCAAAGTAAGAGTGGGTTAGATTACGTAGAACATTTCTAAATAAATAGACTGCGTTCCGAATATAATTTCGAAGCCTCTCCTTATTGGCATCTGGTTAAATTGCGCTTTGGTCTCTATATTAACATGATTTCACGGGATGAAATGTAATTCTGCTCATCCGAAACTCCTTCCATCTCTTGAAATTCTGACCCTATAATATGGAAATCCGGTTTTGTTATGTGGGGGCTGACATCACATAACCACGTTGGCAATTCTGCACAATTGTAAAGGCGGTCTGACTCGAGTTCACCAGGAACGTTAAGATTGTTATGTTTAAACGTGGAGACCTGACCGATCAACAAAGGCTAGACCAATTATTCCACCAAATACAGTTACTACACAACCCGCAACAGAAATTTCGATAAGTATACGCGGTCGTCCGCCAACATGTTTGATAAATGCCTTTTCGGACAAGTCGTTCTATCTAGGCTCCCCCCCGACTGGTGCCGGCAGCTTCTGTTTCGTCTGAAATCAGCACCGTAAACAAACCTGCTGTCAGTTGTATTCTGGAGATCACCGAGACCTCTGCAAGTTAAGTTGCTATCTTCAAAATAAAATTCTAAGTCAACACAAAACGAAATTACAAGTCTGTGTAATATCCTCACTCGTTTTCTGATCCAAAATCATGATCGCAGATGGTTTGAAACCAGCCAGCTTCATTTTCGTGAACAATGACGATCGTACACGAGATGCCGTCTTTAGTTTACAGGCACAATTGAGCACTCTTTATAGTTGTAAATGTCCTGACCGAAAAACCGAAAACGCTCTCTGCTGACAATTCAAGAAAGTTCACATGCCCTTGCGTGTTTCTCCATGGTTGTATCTCACTGGCTACCTCCACAGTTCTTTCTTGACATAACTTCACCGTTTTGGCATCGATTAATCTCTGACCCGCTACGATGGCAAATGATAGTTTTACTTTGAAATGGGTTGATGCAAACCCATTCACGAATTTTTTTTGTTGTAGCAGAGGTGGCAATCTTAATCATTCATATCCACTGGTATTAAGACCACACTAAACTCGCCCATCAAAGTAAAGGGTAAAACAAAACTCTGTTTATGGATGTAGGTTATGACCGGTCATAATTAAACATGTAATCGATCCATACTCTCGACTGCGCCTGTTACGTTCGCAATAACCGTGTATAACCAACAACGATGCTTATCGAATCATGACTGCAGGGCCTCCTGTATTTAAGCAAGCGTATCAACTATCTGCTTGAATTCTTAGACTAACCAAAAACAAATCCGACCGCATGTTGAATTTAGAAATTGTGCGACCGTTAACTGGTGATTCTTGTCGACTCAATGCGAACAGAAGGCAAATGATAGATATCTTTTGCTTCAAAGTCATCACTTGAAGACTACTTTGAAATATACAATTGTCTTTTGAGTGATGACCCTAATTAAAGTCTGTAACCGAGTTGATATATTTGAGAAATGCATTTCTTTTTCGGGTATCATTGCTTATTTAGCAAATGCCTTATGTCTGTAGAAACCTTAGCCTTAATCTTCGGAGACTGATTGACGATAGTTTCAGAAGTTTCGACTTATTTGCTCGCTAACTACGAAGAATGTCTTGTAGAATTCTTTTTGAATGCTTTGTGTTTTGGAAAATCCCTCCATGTTTACATATTTTTGCTATGACCTGATGGACTTTTTCTCTTGACATTTTTGGTATTTTATTTGATTCCAATTTGAGATTTTACCATTGTATGTTGTTATTCTTTCCATATTTTGTACTTATATTGAAGTTTTTGTGTTTGCTTTTGAACTGTACATATATTGTTTAAATTTGATATAATATGGCTACCGCCACATTTTTGGATAGACGCGGTGGCTGCTGGACTTAGTGTCACTTACTAGCTATTGTAATAGATACTCTACGGAGTAATTTAGTCCTGGAAGAAACAAAAACACCGTAAGCCTCTGTATTTCCATTTTATAACAATATAGAGACGTTTTCTCCTAGAATTTTTGACCTTCTGATTTGGCTGGGACCTGGATCTAGGAGTATCGTACCGGTGTGTTTCTATTGGACGCGATTAGGACAGCCGCCGGCAAAATAGATTCTACAGTCTGGTGTTTGCTCTTCTTGCGTGAATTATACTTGGAAATATCCGTCGGGACGCATATAATTTGGATCTATTTGGATTATTAAGAATTACAAGGAAACATTTGGAATTTAATCGTTTATCATACTAGACTTCCTTGGAGGAAGACGCTGGAACTACTTATCATTAATTTTGAACTGAATTTTGGATTTATTCTATTTTGTATCGTTACCGTCTTTATTGAACTTTATTTATGATGTCAAACCGAAAAAAATCACACGTGAGGAGGGTGGAAGAGCTCGACGGATCACAGGGCTCTAGGCAAGTCGTTGATGATAACCTTTTTATGGGTAACCCACATGTTATGTCTGATATTTATTATTGTAAGTCATCGATAGAGGGTTTAGAATTACCTAAGGTTGAACTCTCATATTTTGATGGAAGGTCTCGCGACTATTTTAAGTTCATACGACAGATAGAGACGTTTATAGAACCTCGAATCAAGGATGATCAAGTGCGTTTATTGTATTTAATTCATTATTGTAAGGGAAAAGCTAAAAATGCGATCGAAGGCTGTCTTATAATGGACCCACAGGCAGGATATAAGAGAGCTAAGGTTATTTTAAAACAGCTTTTTGGGCAGTCACATGTGATAGCGCGAGAAACCTTAGAGGACTTATTTAGAACTGGGAATGTCGAATTTAATGATCCTGAATCATTGACGAACTTGGCCATTAAAATGCAGAATGCTTCTTTAACTTTAGAACAGTTAAATTGTACAGCTGAACTTAACTCTATGGCTACTTTAGAACGAATAGTAAGGCTCTTACCTCGTCGAATGCAAGCCCAGTGGGCAGAGCTAGTATTCAAGTGGGACGAAGAGGAGAGAGAGCCCAATTTTAACGAATTGACGGAATTTATTATGTCTCGTGCTAAGATAGCTAGTAGTAGGTTTGGAAGATTAGCTTATCAGGCTAAAACAGGAAATAATACGGAAGCTACTAGTGGTCTGCGTGCGAGACATTCGGATTCTTCGTTTCTACCTAAAGCACGCTCGGAAGATAAGCGATTTGTCAATTATATCACGAAAGCATACCCTGATGAAGGACGAGTACGTGACCGTAACGATGTAAAATCTCTTGATGCGTGTCCTAGCAAGAAGCCGGTTTGTTTAACAGATAAGATGGCTTTTCTAAGCGTAGAAAAGAAAGAAAAAGGTGAAAAGTGTAGGCATCAAGATGGATCCGAAGTGTGTGATGATAAAAGCCTCTTAGCTGCTCGAAAGGCCTGGAACGGTAATTTGGATTCGAGTAATCAGAGGTTAGTGAGTTCAGCAAATATGAATAAAGCCCAGGCAGGATTGACTGAACGGAATAAAGCTTATTTTCGGAACCCTTCAGTTAGGGTAAATTATATAACTGGACCTAGAGTAGATTCTAGGATAAGTGATCGTGGTACAGTAACGGCTAAGAAGCCTAGGAGACATGATGCTACTATTACTAAGAAGCCTGAACCTCATGCTCTTTCGGATGCTACGACTAGCTATGGAAATAGTAGCCATCAGAACCTCAATAGTGACAGTGATAATAAGGATATAGAAAGTGTCAGCAGTTCACTTATAGGGACTAGTTTATCCACTTCATCGAATGAGCCTCCTAGTGTTTCGACGCCATCGGACCTCGTCACGAAGGTTAAGTTGATTGAAGATGCACAAGGTTGTGCAACTGTAACTGTTCCTATTACGGTTGACCGTCAGTCGAGTGATGATGAGAAGAAAGTGTTTGATGGTGACAGCCAGTCTACAGTGCTGTGTGATGACGATGCTATTGTTGAGCATATGTCTTGTGCCGAGGAAACGGATGCTAATGTAGAACGGAATCAATTAGACGTTGATAATAAACTGGATGTCACTGATGTGACAAATGAGTTACCGACGATGATGAACACTGTTCAAACCTCCTCTGCATCAGGAGATGGAAGGATAAATATTGATCCTACGTCATGCTACTTAAGGTCTTCTGGAGACGATGAAGTGTCAAAATTGGAGATCCCACCCTTGCATATTATTTATGGGTCAAAAACTTCTGTTGATAAGTTGGCATCACGGACTTCATGGTATCTGCTGATCAGAGCAAGTGGTGGTGGATTGGCGACTCGTCCCCACGATAGAGAATGTAGTCCTTGGATAGGATATGACCAGTTTTGCGACGCGTTGTTCATGTTCGTATG